CCTCCTCCTCTCTCCCCCCTCCCCCCCCCCCCCTCCCCCCAGGGGAGGCCAAAAAGGAGGAGAAAAAGAAAGAGAAAGAGAAAAGAAAGAAATGAAGATAAAAAAGGGAAGAGGAGAACAAAGGGCAAAGAAAAGAAGGAAAGAAAAAAAGGGTAAAAAAAAAGGAAGAAGGGAAGAAAGCTAGAGGTAGACAGGTTCAAGGTTTGGGTGTGAATACGAAACTTGTAAGTGTGGTAGAGGCGTTGATATAAAATGACCGACACTTGGCTGCAGCTGGGAGCTTGGACCAGTTTTATAAACAACCTAAGTCACACTTGGGCCACCGTACGGACAGGGATGGTTCGAGAAAAGACCCGAGCGCTGAAAAAGTGAATGACCTCCAACTGCCCTGTGCCTTGCACGCCAGTCACTGTAAAAAGACCCGGGCCCTGCTGCCCTGAAAGGCCTCCCTCCGCCAGAGAGGCCAGAAGGTGTCTGCGTGCCCGGTGGGGCTTTCTAGCTCTCCAGGTTTAGGTATTGGAATGGATCCGGCTTACCCCACCTTTTTTCTTGTCTTTCCCTCCCGCTCCTTTCCTTCCTCGTCAATCGATTGTGAAAGAAGGACTGGGAGAGAGTGACAATTGACTTGCTCGTGCTTCTTTCTTGGCATCCCACCTTAAGCGCCCAGGCGGACCATCCAGTGACCATCCAGGACGATGCAACCACCAGGCAAGGTCACCTCTACCGGCACTAGGGGTCGCATCACCGACCTATCGTGCGCGCTGGTTGGATGGCTGTGTGCTGATTGCGCCATGAAGTGAGAGCCGAATGTGAAGAACCAGACCACGGTCTCCTGCAAGGGTATGTACACGTTAAGAGGTAGGGTACTATCGCAAAGACGCGGAAGCCGAGTGGCTCTTGTTTTCTTTGGGTTCCGTCATCTTTGATATTAGGCGTAGAGCCCTCGGTTGGGAAGCTGAGAAAGTTTGCTGTCTTTCAGTTTTCTCAATCTTCTCTACCGTTGTTGTGTTGTTGTGTTTGTTCACTCAAGTGAGTTCGTTGACCACAAAGATGGCCGCCCGTGAAGGAGAGGAGAACGTCGGCACGTTGTAAGTTTGTCTTCCGTTGATCCCATAAAGAGGTGGTATTTCCTGGGCGCATTCTGACTGATAGATTCGCTTCATAGCTTTGGTGATATTCACTACTTCTACGGCCCTCCAACAAATAACCCGCCTCATCACAGGTTCGACAAGGGCTCCTATGTATACCTCTTCGAAGATGCCAACTTGGGCCGCGCACAGCTGGAAATTGCGAACCAACCTGGAAGGGAAGATCAGGATGCTTTCGATGGCTGTAAGCATTAGCATTTCAGGGTGAGAGTTCGGGACAGTGGGAAGGCTAACATCGTGTGTCGCCAGACCTCGACAAAACCCATCTCGAGTACGATTACAACCACACCTGCCTTGTAACTTTGACGGTTGGTGAGGTCGAGGGCTACGAGGAGTGGCATCTACCAACATACGACCCTCACAATCAGGCCAAGTACCATTACAAGCTTCACTCGCTCGACATTTACTTTCACAACCATCAAGATGCTCTGCAATTCGTCAATGGCATCCGGCGTGTGCTCCCTCCGCACCAGTGCGATGTCCACAACGAGCCAGGACCACCACCTCGGCACGATACCGAAGTCAGCGCGGTAGTCCAGCAACTCGAGAGGGCAGCAATCGCTGACCACGGTACACCCCCGACCACTCTATCACAGCCTCCGCAAGTTGGCGGAATCCAGTCCTTTGCTCCGCCGCCCGTGTCTGCAGTGTCTGCTTCCCACGATCACTCGACACCATCGCCCCAAGCATTCGTTCCGATGGCCTATAACCCGGCTGCGCCACCTGCCGCCGAACCCGTACGATACCGCGAGAAGACGCCTCCCCCAGAGGATGCCGCGGTGAATCCGTTGCACCAGACTCTGGCCTACGATGCGACCACTCCCTTCTCACCAGGCCTGCCTCCTCCCAGCGGTCGTGGACCCTTGAGCCCAGGCATTCCTCCGCCAAACCTACAGCACCCGCCTGGAGCTCCGACCTTTGCTGCTCCTCCCCAGCACAGCGTGACCTCGCCCGGCTTCACGCCCCAGGGATTCGGCGCGCTTGGAGGCGGCTACCCGACAGGCCTCAGCCAACCGCCTGTACACCCCGGCGTACAAAGGTCTGTCACCATGCCTGGTGGGCTCCCCAGTCCCGGTCTCGTCAGCCCTGGATTTGCTAGCCCATATAGCCAAGGATACCCAGCCCAACCTGCTTCGGTCGCTGCGGTTGGCGGCTACGGAGCCGTTCCCCCTACTCCCACGCCACCTGGTGCTGGTTACGTGGCTGCGCCGTCGCCGATACCGCCGTCGATGCAGCAAGGAGCGGGTTATGGACAAAATGTCGCTGGACAGCAAGAGTATGAGGTCCACCATCAGTTGTATGTGCCTGAGCAGAAGAAGGGTAGGCTAGAAGAGGGTGCGGGCAAGTTGGAGAGGGGAGTGACGGGCATGTTGAAGAAGTTTGAGAAGAAGTTTATTTGAGGAGTGGCGGGGCGTTATCTGATGAGACGTTTTTGGGAACCTTATTAGCGGTTTAGGTGTTTTGAGTATACCAATTGAGAACATATTCTACATCATCAGTGCGAACGTCACATAACAGCCAACTGACATTGTGATCGGATAAACGAGTTTTGACAATAGCATCAACCAATCCATCGATCTCCATTGTAAAAGGGTTAGGGTTGAAGGTGACTCCAGACCCACGATGACAAATTCAAATGCGTTTTGACCTTTTTTTTCGAGTTCACATGGAACGAAAGCGCCGCATGCCGACGCCGTCATATCACAATTCAAATCAGCGCTTACTTCTATCTCAGATTCACGTGTCGTCTCACCCACCAACGAAGCAATTGGTTTGAAACACAAAAAGAAATGTTCATGCGCCAAATCTCCTCCAGAGAAGACCCCGACCTCTTCACCACCATGTCCTCATCCGGTCGCATCGCCAACAACGCCGGCGCCGGCGTCGCTCCTACAGCGCCTGCAGTCGAATACCACAACCCAACAGACGACACTACCCTTTCCATTGAGGACAACAGCACCACAACATTGGATGACGTCTGGGGCGACGATGGCGGCGACAACGATGATGATGTCTGGGGCGACGAGTCACATTCTCACTCCCACTCACATGAAGATCACCATCACCATCACGAAGCAACGGTGAGAGGCCATGGAGGGCATAATCACCCGTCAGACATCCCCCGCCTCCAACAGGAACACACCACAGCTGGCTATCGTGATGGTATCACCGTTGCCAAAGCCGAGCACGTGCAGGCTGGGTTTGACGAGGGGTTTGGGCTGGGAGCGACGATCGGCGCGATGGCGGGACAATTGTTGGGGGTTTTGGAGGGGTTGAGTTTTTCTCTTGGCTCTTCGTCGGCGAAGGGGCGCAAACCACCACAGCAGGATGATGATGAAGGAGAAGGGGAAGAGGATATCAAGGAGAGAGTCAAGAGGTTGTTGGCGGAAGCAGAAAAGGATCTCAGCGTGCACAGTATCTACGGCAAGGAGTACTGGGATGAGGATGGGACTTGGAAGTTTGAGGTCCCGGGGGAGACAGAGGAGCAGCATGAGCGGTATCAGCATCCTGAGCGAGAGCAACCGCAACAACAACAACAACAACAACAACAACAACAACAACAACAACAACAACAACAACAACAACAACAACAACAACAACAACAGCAGCGACAGAGGGATCAAGAGGACATGGAAGAGGAGGACCAAAAGAGAGAGGAAAAAGAAGCAAAGCCAGAAATTCTCTTCCCTGACATTGCGCTAGCACATCCGCTCATCAAGAAGTGGGATCAGATTATCCGGACCGAGCTGGCGGAGAGGTTTGGCTTGGTTTGGGATGTTGCGGTGTTGTTGCCGAGAAGCGAGGAGGATGAACATGAGGAGGGTCATGAGCATGGTCATGTGGTGAAGGGTTCGGAAGAGCAGAAAGATGCGAAGCCGGTGAGGGCGACCAGTCAGGCGCTGGCTTGGTGAAGGCTGGTAAATATGGGGGAAGAGAGAATGAATGGTTGAGGGACGTTTTGATGAGGATGAGAGAAGCTACAGAGGAAACTTTGAAGGTTCTGTGAGCTCGGGTCAAGAGTGTTCTGCATCTTCTCACCCTGGACGGGTGTAAACGCCATTGTGACACCCCTTCGTTCTTGTTTTGGCTATCATGCCGAGAAAATACAACGTATTGATGGAGTAAAATATTCACTCCTGAACTTGAAAAAAATATCCCATAGATACGGCACTATGCGAATGTTTCCATGCAGTGCGAGAATCTTCGAGTTTAATGATGCTATTCCCAAAATGCAACTTTAAAGTTTGTCAATGGTAACAAAGCATTACGAATGACTCGAGCCGGGGTTCACCCTTGACCCACCTTCCCAACAAGCGAGTCGCCCCGCTTACTGAAGGCTGAACAACGAAGTCCGAGTCAGGTATCCCGGGCGTTGTCATCCGTTATTCAGCAATGCTCCAGTCCGATGAGCTAAGCAACCATATGTACAGTGCTTGTAATTACAATGATACCACGTCGTACGGGAATCAATGACACCATTTCCAGCCAGTTAGGGAAAGGTCGTCGCATGATGGAGGATCTGCGAGCCTAGAGCCCCCCCGATCTGCTCTCCAGTGGACGCTGTTAGCCTTTGTTGCCGATTTGCAGTTGATTACGGTAATCATGACGAATCCAGATCGGTCTCACAACGTGTTATCGGCGTTGATGGATTGCAGGTTCATCCCGCTGGTTTCAAGACGACCCCTGATCCCATGAGGAGTTCATCGTATATAAGGGACGACTGTGCCACATGCTCTGTAGATTCAAATTCTTCCCACAAGAACGTCTGCTTTTTCATACCATACACTAATATACCCAACACTCATACCTAATTAATATCCTTAATCAAGATGGCGCCCAAGATCGCGATTGTTTATGTAGGTATCCGTCGTTCTTGATCTGTCGGACAAACGGCTAACCAACAATCTCTAGTACTCTATGTACGGCCACATCAGGCAGCTTGCTGAGGCTGCCAAGGCTGGCATTGAGAAGGCCGGTGGCACCGCCGACCTCTACCAGTGAGTAAACAAATACTCTGCGATCCACCACTTGAACGAGTGCGCTGACATATCCATCAGAGTCCCCGAGACCCTCTCCGACGAGGTCCTCGCCAAGATGTACGCCCCGCCCAAGCCCACCGACATCCCCGTCATTGAGGACCCTGCGATCCTCAAGGAGTACGATGGCTTCCTCTTCGGCATCCCCACCAGATACGGCAACTTCCCCGCCCAGTGGAGGGCCTTCTGGGACAAGACCGGTGGGCTCTGGGCCACCGGCGGTCTCTACGGCAAGGCGGCCGGTCTCTTCATCTCCACAGCTGGTCTCGGCGGTGGCCAGGAGTCGACTGCCATTGCGGCCATGAGCACCCTCGCCCACCACGGCATCATCTATGTGCCTCTCGGCTACGCCAAGGTGTTCGGTGAGCTGTCCGACCTCTCGGCGGTCCACGGCGGCAGCCCTTGGGGCTCTGGCACCCTTTCCGGTGGTGATGGCAGCAGGCAGCCCAGCGAGAGCGAGTTGAAGGTTGCGGGCATTCAGGGCGAGGAGTTCTACAACACCTTGTCCAAGCTTACCGGTGCGTGAGAAACTGCAACTGGTATGCATCCTTTGGTTGTGATGTGCGCGAAGTCGATGTCATTGCGAGTGGTTGCTAACGGTGATTCTCCTCAAAAGGCTCGAAGAAGGCGAAGACAAGTGACACTGGCGCGAAAGCAACTGCTGTTGCTGCCAATCAAACAGCTTCGCAGCCCAAGCCGGCGCCGCAGCAGAAGAAGGAACCCGTGAAGCAAGAACAGCAACCTACTAAGCAGAAGGAAACCAAAGAAGGGCCTTGCGGATTGCCGTCCAAATGCGTCATCCTTTGAAATTTGACAGTTTAGCATGCAATTGATACCAAGTCAAGACAGTCAACAGTTAATTTGTCCCACTCCTTGTTTTGTGAAAGGTCGAAGATACATGATCTGCTGGAGTGGTGAGGTTGAGCTCGACAAAGAGAAGCTGCAGTGGTGGATGGTGCCGGATTGCGTTGCAAACGGGAACCGAGACCCCGCCCCCATATCCGACCTGCCTACCTACATATTCCGTTGTGCCCGCCCTGCACGTGGAGGGAGTGGGCGGGCGTGCCTGACATGTTGTGGAACCACCCGACCTCACTGGCAAATGCCGACTCCACCCATTCTGCGAACGACTTGCACTCGTGCACGGATAATTTGCACTCGTGCACAGACCAGCCCCAGGAGACCCGGGAGGGTATATAATGCCGGCCACCCCTCCCACTTTTGCTCCTGTTTTTCTTCTTTTTTTCTTCAGCTCTCTTTGCCTTTTGGCTTAGATCAAGTGTAGTATCTGTTCTTTTCAGTTTAATCTCTGAAAGTACTCTACGGAGTACAATCGTGATTATTCTAATTTTTGCAACTCGGTCGGTTTCCCTCTGTGCTTGCACATGGTTACCTTCCACTGTGTCCCTGGTATTACACTGCCTCCAGGCGACGCGAACCACACTACATCTTGCTTGTGCTCATCCTCTTTCATTGCAATCCTGGGCTTGAAGCTTGGGGTGTGAAGAAGCAGGTTGCATACGGAATATGGTGAAATACCAGGATAGACTGGATCGGCGACATCGCGTCTTGATCCCGTCAGTCCTCTAGCTCGATGTCGAGGGTCGATGATCTGACACCATCTATCGGGTATTCGCATCTATCACTTCTCTGCCTCCGTATAAACATCGCGATGTTCTCATCCAGCGATTCTACTTCTCTGTGCCCTCAACTATTGTTCATCGGGGAACCCTTGCTCCATCTTCCCCGTTGTCGAAGATGAAGTTCCTACAGTCTTTTGTCTCCTTCCTGTAGCCACAGCCTTCGCGTCATCATGGTATCACGATGCTTTCTGCTCGCAAAAGCCACTCTTGGGCTCAACCGGCAATTGCGTACATTTCCCATCACTATTGGATGCTGATCTTGAAGATCTAGCTGCCGGGCTTAAGAAGGGCTTATTCACCACCATCGATCTCGTCAATGCCTATACCCGCCGTATTCTGGAGGTGAACTCTACCCTCAAGGCTGTCACCCAGCTCAACACCGATGCCCTCTCGATAGCATCAGAGCTGGACGCTGCTCGAACAAACGGCACGATCATGGGTCCGTTACACGGCATCCCAACTCTGCTCAAAGACAACATCGCCACGCCAGACAAAATGGATAATACAGCCGGTTTATACGCTTTGGTCGGAGCCAATGTGTCCGAAGACAGCACAGTGGCCGCTAAGTTGAGGAAAGCCGGCGCCGTCATCCTCGGCAAAACAACCCTTTCTTGATGGGCCAGCAATCGCAGTAAAAATTACACATCGGGCTGGTCTGCCACCAGAGGTCAGACTGAGGGAGTATACTATCCTCAGCAGGACCCGTCGACAAAATCCCCGACTACGTCGGCGCCAGCGACTACTTCGCCCTGCGCGGCGCTCGCATCGGCATCCCACGCAATCTCATCGAACTCAACGATCCAGCCTCTAACCCCTACGCGCCCGTCCTTTCCGTCTTTGAAGCCGCTCTCTCCGTTTTTCGCTCTGCCGGCGCCATCATCATCAACGACCTCTTCCTCCCCGGCAATGAGACCACGAAAAAGGAACAATTTGTCTTTGAGAACCTCGTCTTAAACACTGACTTCCCCCGCTTAGCGACCTACTTCTCCGAGTTGACCGTCAACCCGCACAACCTCACTTCGCTGAAAGACCTCGAGCGTTTACGCATTTTGACGAGAGGGAAGGCTGGCCGGAACGCGAGACGCTCGCTTGGGACCGCGCTTTCAACATGAGTGCTACCATCACTCCCGCTCAAGCATGGGGGAATTGCACCTCCATCCAGTACTTCGCCGGCGAGCTGGGGCTCTTGGGAAATATAAGTTGGGGATAGGTGGTACTAAAAGTTAGGATTGGAAATGCGCAATGGTTTGTTTACTATCCATTAATACCATATGCTAGCGTGGTTTTCGTGAATGTCCGCAGTGTTGCACATCGTTTTCATCAACTCGACGTAAGGCGATTGTTGATCTTGACACCGAACATAATCGATCGGTGGAGGTTGAAACTCATCGAATGAACAACCCGACTATAAAAATCAAAAACTTCAAAAGATATGCAGATGGGTGTCTCATGTCGACCACCAAAGCGGCCGAGATTAGCACGTCATCACCGATTGGTAATCCGCTGCCGCTGCGGGGGATACGACTGGGATCGGCTGGCAGCCTATCAGGCGATATCTTTCATCAGAACAAAACAAAACATCCATCCAGAATTCAACCATCACTGGATCAAGAACACGAACATTTTCATCATCAAAGCTCACATCGTCCTACTCATTGAAAGTTCGTCTGAATGAAACGATGCCACCCACCAAAACTCCCGACGATGATATCGAGAGCGGACAAAGCCAGGCAACCACTATCAACGAGGAGACGCCGCTCTTGATAAGCCAAAATGATCATCGAGCAGGGCCTGATAATGATACTGTTGAAGAGGCAGAACAAGATGAAGGAAGCAGATATACGTGCAGTTACTTTGCTTGGAGGATATTCTGGACTGTTGCTGCGGTCACAGTGACTGTTATCTTTGTCAAAGCTTGGATCGATGCTGGGGCGGATGTCAACGTGGGTTGCTGCATCATTACCTTCCCCAGCGCTTTCTTTCAAGTGCTTGACTTGTACTGACACTGATGGATCTCATCATCTCTAGTTCGACCTGAAGGGAGCGCTTAAACGGGCTTTGGGTGGTGGTATAAGCGGTGCTGCGGCCATGGTGCTTCAGGTGTTGCTTTTGATGGTATGTGACCTTTTGACTCTAACCGTTGATGTTGAGCAAGGCAGTCACTTACCCTTATCCAGCCCTTACGAACCATCATGAACTATCAATACCGCTTCGGCACCTCGTTCACCACTGCCACCAAGACTCTCTACCGACAGGGTGGTCTCCGTCGGTACTACGATGGAATGGGAGCCGCTCTCTTTCAAGGTGAATTCCTCTACTCCCAAACACTCGTTAACAACCCCAATACTCACACACAAAACCACAACCGCAGGACCAGCAGCCCGTTTCGGCGACACCGCCGCCAACGCCGGCATCCACGCTCTCCTCCAATCCAACTCCTTTCTCAAGCACCTGCCCATCACCATCCAGGATATCTTCGCCTCGCTCTGCGCCGCCGCCTTCCGGATGATCCTGACACCCATCGACACTTTGAAAACCACGCTCCAAGCTCAGGGGCCCCGAGGCACCGCTATTCTTAGGCAACGCATCAAGACGGACGGCATCGGCAGTCTCTGGTGGGGCGCCTTTGCGACGGCCGCGGCGACTTTTGTGGGCAACTACCCCTGGTATGCGACGCATGATTATTTGCTGGAGATCATACCGGAGCCGGCGAAGCACCCGTTGGGGATCTGGTTGTTGAGATTGGCGTTTGCGGGGTTCGTGGCGAGTGTGGTGAGCGATTCGGTGTCGAATTCGTTGAGGGTGGTGAAGACGTATCGGCAGGTTAACGATAAGGAGGTCTCTTATTGTGAGTTTTGACGGACGAGTCCTTCCCGCTTTGTTTGTGAATCTTCAGCAAGAGGATTGTTTACGCTAACATGTTGTGTCTAGCCGAAGCAGCGAGGCTGGTCATTGTCAACGATGGCATCAAGGGCTTGCTTGGCCGCGGATTGAAGACGCGGATTTTGTGCAATGGCCTTCAGGGCTTGATGTTTTCCATTCTGTGGAAGTTGTTCCTTGATTTGTAAGTTCCCCTTTGACCAAGTAAGAGTGTCCAGTTTGACTGACGAGAGTCCGGACGTGTTAGGTGGAACAACAAGACTGCTCATCTTTGAGTAGCAGTCAAGGTTTACATCTGTCGCACTTTTGCACTGAAAAGATTAGTCGGGACACGCTGGCAGTCATCGAACCATTCAGGCAATTGTGGCTGTCCGATAGTCAGTGGATGTTTGTCCCTCGGTGACTACAACAGGCAACAGCTTAAGAATTCTAGAATTACAATAGGGTTATTTCTTTGAGGCACAATTGTCAGTAATATTAGAGTGAGAGACACGTATACCATCTCACCCCGTACCCCGCAGACCCGGAGAAGAAGAAGCAATAAACTGCCCTAAATCCGGCCATGCCGTGTATATAGGGATGGGCAAGTATCATTGGACAGACGAAGCGGGATTGTACATATCCTGGTATGTGTGTATGTGTTCAGAGTGCGCAGTATGTACTGCGTAGCTCGGACATGTCTGTCGGTAGGGTACATGTCGCAAAGGCAAGGGCAGCAGCGTATGCGGGGATTGCTCTGCACGTTGACTTGATTGCGTGCTAGCGTCGACTGGAAATAGAAGATGGAGGATGGGATGGCCGGAAGAGCTCATGGCGGTAGTAAAGGGATGGAATTTCACGGGAAGGGTAAGGAACAGAAAAGTAAGGAAAGGTAAGGAAAAAGAAGGGATTCTTTCAGCACGTGCTTGCCCATGTGACCTTCGGCCCATATATCATGTGTGTAAGCTGGCATCTAAGCCTAGATTCTGTGTGTAAAGTACAATTATTATAGTAGTTGAGAGTTTGAAATGATAGTAAACTATTTCATTCCGAATAGGAAGCATCTTGCGAGGTTATCGTGATGGCTCATAGTATTCAAACGCACTCGAAATTGTATAGTTTGGTAGATAAAAGAAGGAGTCATTGGCGATGGGAGATGGCGGTTGGGAGGAGGGGGGGGGGGGAGGGGGATTCTGTGTGTGGGTGCACAGACCGTCTTTTTCAAACGAAAATTTCGAAAATTTCAGAAATTCGATAATATCGGGAATTTTCTTATTTTTTCAGAAAATGACCATCACTACATGGCGGTGATCTAGATGGGATCTACGTAGATCCTTTGTGCCTCTCTAACTTTGCACAAGCTTCCCTTTGTTGGACCCTTTGCACTGTACATAGTGTACACAAATAGACTATTGACCATGCCCAAATCAGTGTCGACCAAGGACAGCCGCGCAGGAACAGAAGATCGAGTGTATGCACAGCCTGGACCGAGTGGTCGTGGTGATCTCAAAGGACGGTGGCAGTGAGTAGGTATCCCGTCAGACGTCCCACTCAGCCACTCCCTTGAGAACCGGCCTTGGTTGTAAGTTGGAGATCGGCCTCAGATAAAGCCACAATAGGGTCCGACCATGGCAGTGCGCTTGGACATGGACAAGAGACCGAGGGGCCCATGTTAGCCACGAAACAATCAGTGAGAGTTTCAGGACATCGTCTTCATATGGTTGAGTGCTGTGGTTGATGTCGTCAAAATAGGTAAAAGTTCCCGTCCTTGAAAGGAATGAAAGAGGACGTTCGGTTGGGATGGGAAAGCGATCCACTGTGGGACTTTGGTGTTCCATTCGTTGTTTTGATGCCGTGGGGTTCAAGACCGCCTATGTAACAGTTTGACTGTTTGTTAGTGCGGGTCTTGGGATGTGATATTCTTCGGGGCAGGAAAGTCATGAAAAGCTAAACTTGGAAAACGAAAAGCCTCACATAGGTCATAAAGTAGAATTCTGGTAAAAAAAAGTCCCTTTCCCGGTACCCAAAGACGTAATTCACGGTTGTTGCCCTGCACCCTGTTGTTGCTCTTGCAGTACCGCCGTACCGGATTCCCAAGGGGCATGGTAAACAACTGCGCAACACTGACGGGGCAACACGAGGCGGCACTGCCCAGTGGGGCGGGGGCCTGCTGTTTGGATGGAACGTTGACAGCCCCTGCCAATTTGTTTGGCTTCTGAATGGCTCAACTCAGGGCCTTCCCTGTCTCTCTTTTGCTTCCACTTCCCAGCCCTCCCAGGTCGCACGCTTGCCCGCCCGCCCGCCTTACCGAAAGATTAGGTGGAAAATGCGAAGCGTGATAGCGATTTCCTCTTTGTTCTCTCTTCCAACTGACTAATTGAACCTTTTCAACTTCATCTTGGTCGACTTGTTTAGCCGCCAAGGCGGATTTCTCTGTTTCCATCGCCCATCTGCTTAGTCGTATATCTCCATGGGTATTGTATCTACGTTTGTTTCGCCTGGTGAGTGCGAATAGCAGACTGTGTCAATCAATACTACTGCCTCAACCTTTACATACACATACCACTCTACACTACACTACCTCTGCATATCTGCACCGGCCGCCGACATTAAGAGATTATTACTCCCGTCGGACGGTTGTACAAGGCCGATCACCGCGTATATCACGGTGTATTCCGACCTTTGGAGACCGGTAACGCCCCCAACCGCGCCTCAACACTCTCATTGGCGTTGTCAAGTTGCGGAGGGCTGTGTGACGATTGCCGAGTTGCCTCTTCCCGGTTCACGACTTTGCGTTCCATCGACAGACGACGACCAAGAGCAATGCAGAGACATCGGCCTTCTAGTCAGAGGATAATTTCAGCCCATTGATCGTCGACGCGGCCGCTTCTTCGAACTGTTATATATATATTCCATCATACATATCCACCACCAGCCAAAATGCCTGTAACACAATCACGGATACCGATCCGGGCTTCTCAACCGTCACTGGAGCCCAATGCTGTTTCGATGGCAGTCAGTTTATGGCCACGCATCGACATAGCCCCAGATCCGAATGCTCCCTCTTCCCAAAAGCCCACTCAAACTAGCATTGTAGGCCTCTCTATTCCACATCAAATGGTGTTCCTCTCTTAACACTTGCTTCCGTCGCAGATTGTCGCCATTGTCGTTGCCGTAATCGCTCTGATGTTATCCATCACTCTCACCTTACGCGCCGTCCGCGCCAGACATCCCAACCCAAAATACATACCCACGCCCTTCTTAAAGCGATTATGGACCAAATGGAAGGTCCCGCCTGTCAAGCATGCCTACGCTCAGGCTGGCATCGACGAAGAGTACAACAGTCACAACCGAGCAAATCAGGACGCCATGGAGGAAACACTCACTGCGGTGAACGCTCGACTTGCCGCCGCAGCCGGCAGAACAGGAGCGACAGGAGGAACGACAGCTGAGGTAAACCGTAATCAGTCGATCCGCAGCATCATGACACTCCCGGCCTACCGGCCAGCTCCGGCCGAAAACGAGCGAGTTTTAGGTAGGGAAGGCGAGCGCGACGGTATCGATGTGGTGGTAGAGATGCCGACTGCGGAGGATGAGGAGCATCTACGTGACGAGGAAATGGAGGCACTGTACCAGATTCGCGTGGCAAGACGGCGCGCGAACCAAGAGCGGGAGGAGCGGCGACGACTGCGCCAAGAGGCTCGGCAAGCCCATAACACTGCAGCTTTGCGCCAGATTAGAGAGCAGGCTCGGGTTCAGACGGCGCGGAATACTGAGGAACTGGAGGTGCTTCGTGAGGAACACAATCGCATCAGAGAGTTGCGATCGCGCGCGACGAGCAGTGTACAGTATGCGGACTTGGGTGTCGCTAGGGCGGATGGCACTCGCATCCGGGCTAACAGCACGGAAAGCGAAAGGGTCGGGTTGCTGAGCGATGCGGCGAGCATGGCGGCGTCGCAGCAGGGTGTAAGGCCTAGTACTTCAGCCACTCATCATCGGAGGGGTTCGAGCTCGCTCAGTATCGACACCTCCAGATTGGGTGATCAGTTCCTCGATTCGTCGGCTGTGGCTACGCCCTTGACTGGAGCGGGCGGTAGCAGCACGTTCAGCCTTGTTACGCGCAACAGCCACGAACGCGGGCGATCGATATCCAGGTCCAGGGCAAACTCGGCTGCCAATACCCCGCGCGCTGGATCCAGCCCTGAGATGATCGATGCCGATGATGCTGACCTGGGCGCCGTCAACATGCCGCCTCCACCAGGTTACGAGGACGTTCGCTTGGACGACTTGACTCCCTTCCGCTCCCCAGTTGCCTCTGCCGCTGTATCCGGTAGGAATAGCCCCACCACCCTGACGCCGCTTCCGTACAACGAACCCCCTCCGGAATACCCCGGTCCATCACCAGCACCATCAGCCGAAGAGACATCGCTCTCTACGCGCACGGATGGAGGCAGAACCCTTGCTCACCAGAGGAGCATCTCAGGGGGAGGAGGTGTCGGAACCGGGAACCTACCGACCAGATTGCCAAGTCTGCGTCTCGACTCAGTGCCACTCATTGTCGTCGAGCCGGAAGAGGAGATAAGGATAGGAGAGGGCAGCAACAATAATGCGGCCAGCACAGAGGAATCGGTGTCTAACCCTCCGAACATCAACATAACATTCCAAGGAGAGAGTAGCACAGCTCGTACGTCAGTATCAGAGAGTTTCCGAACATCGACGGAAAGTGACTCAGGCGAGGAAACCTCGGTAACGACAAAGGGGAAAAAGCCCGAGAGGACCATCGAAGTAAATGAACAGGTGGAGAAAGAGAAAGGCAATGGAAGCGGTGCTGTTACTGCAAATATCGATCGCTCGGAGAGCACCAGGAGCACGACAGCTGCAAGAGATAAGGAGAGTCACAGTCCCCCAGTAGGAGAAGGGATAAAAGGAACTTCGGCTAGGATGACGGCGGAAGGTGCGGATCCATGAGACGAGGTTTTCGAAGAAAAAAAGAAGATATGGAATTGGAATGGTGATGGCATTCTGATGATTGGCGTGACGTGACCTATACCCGCGACTCGATTCGTATACATACCGGAGGTCAGCGTTTTTTTTTTGGATGAAAGGAGAAAGGAGGGGATGAGAGAACTGGAGGAAATTTGGAAATTTTAAAGCATCAACTTTGTGGGTATCACTATGTTTATGTATATACCAGTAACGTTGTCAATGATCAACCGACCAACCGGCATGGAATGGAAACTGGAGTTCAATAAGTTACGCAAGGGATACTTTTTGATGAGAGGACTGAATGAGACAACGGCACTTGATGCTCGGCTTTCCAAACTTGGTGATTGCTGGTTGTATGTGTATCCGTTGGTAAATCGGTTCCGCTAAGGTGGTTCGAACATTCCTTCTTCCTTCCATCAATGGGCAATAACACGGCAGACTTCTTCGGATTGAGACGTCCAATGACCATGGCGTCAAACCCGACTAAAGGGCAAGTGAAGAGTCTGGCAAGATTTCGCCAGCACCTCGGTTTCGTTTTCCGCATGACAGTCACTTACTTCACTTTGCTTTTATCCGAAGAGCAACAATTCAACGAGCGAGTCCATTGTTATCCTCTCAAAGCACTAGTAAACAACAAAACAGATAAAACATCGCCCTCGAATAGAAAAGTTCCTTCAACGACCAAACGAGTGAAAGGCGTTGAACCCATTGAGACATCAATACACTATACCCTTTCTCAAAAAGTAGCTTTTTACCACCTGTCACAGCTAGCGTCAGCATCAGCATCAGCATCAGCGTCATGTAAACTAAACATCGTTATCATCTCATCCATCATCCATCTGATTGAATCCATTCTTTCCCATCCATCCATTCATCCATCCTCCCCATCCTTCTCAGCTGGGAAAACTAACTGACTGGTTAGTCAGTCAGTCAGTGCTCAAACACAAGTCCAAACCTCCTGCTGCTTGCCATCCACAGTAACCACCTGCTCCCTAACCCACTGCTGCTGCTGCTGCTGCTGCTTGGATTGAGCAGCAACAAAGTCCATCATTTGCTGGGGAGACAAGACTACAGCTTCTTGTTGGTTCTTGTGCTGGCCGCCGCCGATTTCGATTTCCTCTTGCTGCTGCTTGCTCTGGCTGTTACCGGCGGCCAACTGCTGCTCCTCCTGATGACCATCGAAATGCTCGCCAGCAGTCTCGTGACGGGCTTGAATGATGCCGTTGGTGGTGGTCTTGAAGAGCTCTTGGGTGGTTTGGTGGTTCCAGTTGCCGTTATTGAGTTGCTGGGTCTGTTCACCACCGATCTTGTTCAGCTGCTGGGTTTGTTGGCCGTTGTGGAGTTGTTGGATTCCCTGGCCTTTGTTGTTGAGCTGTTGGGTGTTGATGGGTTGGCCCTGGTAGAACTGGTGGGTAGTAGTCATGAGGATGTCGTTGGGACCGCCGCCGTTGTTCCACTGCTGCTGCTGCTGGTGAGTCTGTTGACCATTATACAGCTGCTGGCCCTGGCCTTGACCCTTGTTGAACTGCTCTTGCTGATGGTTGGGGTTGGTGGTCAGGAGGATACCGTTCTGACCGGTCTTGTACAGCTGGTTAGTAGTACCTATCTGCTGACCGTTGTAGAGCTGCTGGTTTTGGCCGCCCTTGTTGAAGTCCTGGATGATACCGTGGGTGTTGCCGGTGGTGTAGAGACCCTCGATCTGCTGGGCACCCTTGTTGAATTGCTCCTGCTGCTCTTGGTTTTGGCCCTGGTTGAGTTGGTTGGCCCAGTTGTGGGTGATGTCACGCTCCTGGATGCGGCCGTTGGTCTGGCCCATGGTATTGTAGAGCTCTTGGGTCTTGCCTTGGCCCTTGGTAAGAAGCTCATCTTGCTGAGTCTTGCCGGTGTACATGACGGGGCCGTGGGTGCTGGACTGGTCGTCAAAGTGCTGGCCGAGGTGGTTACGCTTTTGGTTCTGGCCAGTCTTGAAGTTGGACTTCTGGCCATGGGGCTGTATTGTGGTAGAAGAGTTGTTTGTTAGTGTGTATTGCCCAGAATTGACGGTGATAGACATAATAGATTTTCTGAAGACTCACCATGCTGTCCTGCTGCTGCTGCTGACCCACACCCACCCACTCCTCATGGGTCTTTCCATTGATCATGTCAAGCTGCTGCTCACCCTGGCCAGTAACCATGTTGTTATGACCGATGGATCTGGACTGGACAAGGTCACCGACGATGTTCTTGCCGCAACCGGGACACTCGATCTCCTTGCCGATCTGCTGGTCGACATATTCGATCTGGCCCTGGAGACCACCGCGGTTCTGCTGCTTCTGACCGTCGACAATCTCCAGCTTGCTCTGCACGGGGCCGACCTCATGGCAGGCGCGAGAGTGGTTCTCATCGGTCACGAGACATCCTGGAAGGGAGGGCAAGGCCGAGGTGGTGACCGCCAGGGTCAGGGCAAGAAGGGAGTGGATATGCATGTTGTTGGCGGCGGACTAGCCAGTGGACTTGGTTGAAAGTGTCAGAAAGTTGTGTTGAAAGGATTGAGGAGTGGTGAGGATGTCAAGTGAGGTTGGAATTCTTTCGACACTGCTGAGAGGAGTCCGTTGTCGTTTATATGCTTTGCTGCTCGCTCATTTTTGGTAGGCAAAACACCATGTGTACCAAGATGATCGAAGTTGTCATGTCCGCTTCTAGAAGAAGCACAGACTGTAGTGATTGCTTACTGAAAGGGTGCAAAGTGGCGAGCCGTTGTGGTTTATCGGATCAGTGAAGAAACTTCGAACCGAAGCACAGCAGTAGTAGCTATCTAGAGTAACCTCCAAGTTGGGTAGAACTCCAGATCTATGACCTCAAGCAGTGCAACGGCTATCTGCCTACTGGATTTTCATGGTTTGTGAGATTTGGAAGCAGTGATCAGAGGGACTTGCCAACATACCCGGTGAAAAGAAAAGGTCTCCAGACATTGATTAGTGACCCTGAACACAAAGATCCAGTATCTCGACTGTGCTCCTCACAGTTCTGACCCGACGGCGTGGTCAAGAGGGGTTCGCTCGAAGGCGTAACATTTCCTCGAATCAGTATCGGCTATCCTACCCCCGATCCGGAATATGTCCAGGATGACATGTCACAGTCCTCGCAACACTGGACGCTGAGATATCCAATGCAATAAGATGTTGAGTTGTGCCAACCCAAGCTCGATAGCATTGACTTCTTCTGATAAAGCACCGGTTGCGACTGGTGGGACTGTGCTCGCTCATACTACGAGGAGAGATATCTCGTTTAACGCGAGGCGGCTGTGATACCGAGAGAAGCTGAGTGAGCTAGTGGGTGTTCTTCGATTAAGACGTTCCCTCGACTTGCGGTCACACAGTAACGTGCTCTTGGAATCACGAATGGAATGCAGGGAGGCGAACAGACAAGACTTCTTGCTGAGAAGGGATGTTTGCCTGAAGTGATATTGAAAAGTGTTGGAATTGTCATAACTTTTCCGTTGAGAGACATTCTACAGCACCTCTAGAGCCACACCCCTCAGACAGATTATGTAGATGTATGAAACCTTCTCTTTCCTAAGTGACCCACGCCTATTCCAATGCTCCGCATGTGAAGGAAGAATACCATGACCGGAGCAGAGAAGTCCGGTAAATCCCTGTAGTGACGCCAATCATGAACAGAGAATGGAAAATGGAAAAAAGAAATAGCAAAGACATGGTAAAAGTACAAGAAAATGGTCACAAGGTGTTGATACATATTGTCGCGGATAGCTGAGGGGGCGGATTCGTTTGGTCGATTAGGCCTTCTTCTCCGACTCGCCGGACTGCTGCTCGCCGCTGGGAGCACCGCCGAACCAGCCAAAGACGGAACTCTGCATGTTCTTCATCATCTCTTTCTGGGCCTTCTCCTGCGCCTCCTGCTCCATCTTGAGCCACATCTCGCCGTTCTTCTTGATCTCCTCCTCCATGGCCAGGTAGTTGCGCATGCCGCGCTCACGGGCAATATCCTGGATCATCTTGCCCTTAGCAAAAGCCTCAGAAGGATCCTCCTCGCCCTCCATGGCCATGGGGTTCAGCTTGCTAGGCTTGATACCGAAGCGGGCGCCAAGTGAGCCGAGGCCAGCCTTCTTGGCCTTGGCGGCAACGAGCTTGTTGTGCTCAGCGCGGGCAATGGCCTCTCTACGGGCGAACTCGGTGGGGATGTGCTGGCCCTCGAAGGACTTGAGGACCTTGCGAACATCGGGGAAGTTCATGGTGTGGATGAACTCGAGGAAGGGGACGAGGGACACGAGCTCGGTATCCTTGGGATCACCCTTCCACTTGGGGAGGACGATGGCGTTCTCGGGCTGGGCGCGCACGTGCTTGGGGTCGGTATCAATGATGATGACCTTGGACAAGTCTCTGTTGAGATAAGAAAGGTCCTGTGCGACAATGGTTGGTTAGCTACTGTGACGGTGCAATCTTGACAGCTCTGGGTGGTCCTACCTTGACGATCTCGCCATCCTTGTACTTGGTCGCCTCCCTGAAGAGGGGCCACATGATGAAGCGGTACGGGTCCATCTTGCGGACAATAGGCTCAGCGTTGGCAAAGGGAACGCTGGTGAAGAGAACAATCTCGTAGTACTGGCTGAGGTAGCGCAAGAAGTAGTCGACACCGGGACGCTTGGCGAGACGCCAGCCGTGGTCGCGCGTCCACTCGCTATGCACCAGCATATCTTCCAGACTGATACAGAGGGTGTACGGGCGCTCGAAGGACGGATCCGGGTCGGGTAGCAGCTTCTCGAAGGCAGGTTCCTGGTAGTAGCTGACGGTTCCAGTCATCCTGGCCTTGGCCCTCTTCCACCACAGGCCGAGACCCCAGCCATTTGGTATATCATGGTGCTTCTCAAGCTCCTCCTCATCCCATTCCCTGCCCAAGTAGATCGTTCCACCAACCAAAGCGAGACCAGAGGCAATGAAGGCCCAGTTGGCCATCTTTTGGCGGCGCTTCTCGGTAGAAGAAACGTAGGCAGAATCGGGGAGCTGGCCCTTCTTGCGGCCACCACCACCGCTGCCTGACGTAGCGGCCTCAGGGCCCTCGGCGCCCTCGGCCTGTGTCTCTGCCTCCTCACCGGCGACGGGCTTCTTGCCGGCTTCCTTCTGGGCCATCTCATACTCTAGGGTGGTGGGAATACCACCTCTTAGATCGGGGAGCTTGGACAGGTCGATTTCGGGTTCGGGTTCGGATTCGGATTCGGCTGGGGTTTGTTGTTGTTGTTGTTGCTGCTGCTGCTGCTTCTGCTCAGCTTTCTCAGATTCGGCGGGCTCGGGGGCCTTGGGAGTAGCCTTTTGTGCGGGAGTGCTCTCGGGCTTAGAGAACTTGGGAGGCTTGTTGTCCTTGGCCATGGAACGGGTCCAGACGGCGGGCAGAGTGCGCTGCGACAAGAGAGGCGACGCCGCGTGAGCTGCGACACGCGCGCCCGCAATGGAGCGCACGGCAGCTCTGGACAGCATCATGACTGATATTGGTTGGACACACGAAGAGCAGCAGCTGTTTGGAGTGCTGTGTGGTGTCGAGTGTCCTCTAGTGATGGAAACCGAAGGTGGATGGATGCCCGGGTGGTTGCAGGAGGGGGGAGGAGCTGGTTGCTGCCTCTTAGGTGGTGGAAACAAGTGACGATAACAGTAGGATAACGGAAATTCAGGGCGTCGTAGTCAGTTGCAGTCAGTCAGTATCCGCTGGGCCCGATAGCGATATGATATCCAAAACCAAACTTTCCACAAACTCAAGCTTCTCGCCCGGCCGGCTGCCCGCCCAAAAAAAAAACTTGAGTCCTGAACCTTCCGTCACAACGCTGCTAGTTGAACTTCAGCCTTGGCGCGCTTCTTTTGGTCCAATCAGACATGAAGGAGGGGTCGGTTGCTGGATCTTCCAAGGCCGCCGTGCACAGACCGTCGAATTCTGAGAGTTCTTGTTCCCGGCCCCAATGGCCCCACATACGGAGTTAAGCGTCAAAGACAGTGGGGGACATGTCGTCATCTTTTAGCTTTTGGTTGCATGGATGGATAAAAATCATAGGAAGTCTTCAATCCCAACTCACCATCTCAACTCCAATGGCTTAAAAGTTGAAAGTCTTCATCTCGTCTTCAGAAAACTATCTATTGCGACAGGTGCCCGAGATCCTATGTCAGTTGGAAGATTCAAGCATGATTTGACAGGTGTCGTTTATTGGACTGCATACTGAAAACGTCAGACGACAGTGACACTATGTACTTTTCCACTAGCATTGCGCCTACAGATGCTTTTCGACGAGCAGTAACTGTTGCGGGGAAATGAGCAAGTATTATTCAAAAATGAAGGGATGCTGCGAAATAAACAAGTACCGGGCATTCAAAGGTATGACTGGTTCTTCGATAAGCTCTTCTGAGCCATTCAGATCACTTCACTCTTCTCCTAACCACACAGTTGCTGTCCAAACGATGGAAAGCTTGGGTGACCTGACTGACGACTTGATCACCTCAAAAGTCCCAGGTGAACCATATGCTAAGTGGATGTTATTCTGTTACAGTACAATACCTCTTCTTGGCGATCATTTGTGATGATTTCTCATGTTCACCCTAACCCTGTTACTATCCGAGTACAGCTTATGTAATGCGTCGGTCAAAGCAAATCGTCTGCACATTCAGCGATAGAGCGATGCCGTGTTTTGCTGTGATGGACATCCAACCATTCAACATCGTCCATTCAATTGCCTTCCTTCCCCTCACCTGCACTTCTCGGTAGGTGACCACTTCTTGCTCGTTTCGTTTCTGCATCATTCTAGCGGGCCGAGACGGAACCGAATCGATACAATTGACGAATCCTTTAACACTTGCCCTCTTCTGCTTCCACCCATCCATCTTCTCTCCTTCCCACTCCCGTCTTCTCTGTTTCTTCTGGAACATATCATCATTCATCCAACGCTCGAACGGCTGCGGTGATCCAAGCACAAACGCAAAGTCCACTCCTTCTCCGCCACCCGAACCGTCATTATCAATCATCCAAAAAAAAAAAAAAAAAAAAAAAGTCCAGTCCGCGCTCTACAACTCCCTGCCACTTACCATTCCAACTCCCAACTATCGCCGCCCACCATGGCTTCCGCGAATGCATTCTAGAGGGTGGTCCAGTCGTTGCGCATTCAGTACTCACGATGGGACCACCCTCTCAGAGTTCTGCGTACTCAACCACACACACAGCCTAGACCTACTACTATCATCGACGCATCGAGCTTAAAGCCAAGAGTCAGAAGAAACTGAACCATCTCAGGACCGATATTTTATCCTTCCAGACTCCTACAACATCCACTCACATTCATCTCTCACCCTACCCAAACCCTTGACATTCAACATTTGCCACTTCGCGTTCCGAAAGTACAGTGGCGCCAGTCAGCCCTACAGACTGCTTATTCGTGTTTTGCCAGGATCGCGATATCATAATCACCACTACTTCTACTTACCGTATCTCTCAACCTTCTCTTCGCTTGCCCTGTCGTTAGACGACGATCTACACCACAATGCCTCGCAAAGCCACCCAACAACTAGTGGGGCGTAGAATCACCACGAGGACGTCCCGCACCGTCGCGACCGTCGTGGACAACTCGCTTCATGCTCCCCCGACCCCGATCCCTTCTAATCTCAATACTCCGCTGAGTTCTGCCTACCCGTCGACTTATGCCTCCGAGGCCGAGGGGGACGTTGACGGAGAGGTTGAAGTGGGGATTGACGGACAAGTCGATGAGGATGTCACCAAAGCCATGGGCGCATTAACCTTGGCTGGCTCTGCCGAAGTGACTGGTGAAGCTTCTGCCCCCCCAAAGCCTCTCTCCCGACTAGCCAGAAGGAAACAAAAGCCGTTTCCCTTCCTAGAGTTGCCGGCCGAACTCCGAGTTAAGATCTACGAATACTTCTTCGACGACACCCACTACGTCCTCGACCTAGACCCGGACAATTACAGGCGCATCCACAAGAAGCTGGGCTTCTTGCGCACCTGTCGGACCATCAGCCTCGAGGCCGGCTACCTCTTCTACAGCACACACACCTTCCGCATCTTCCCCACCCACCCGGGCAAACACTTCAAGACCAAGAAGCCTCTGCTTGCCCGTATGAGCGCCCGCCAGCGCTCCTGGATCACCAGTCTCGAGATGCGCCTCGGCCCCGGCTGGAACAAGCCACCGCGCGGCTGGGTTGTCAACCCGGCCCTGGGATTGCACGAGTGCACCAGCGTGCGCAAGCTGACCGTTTTTGTCGAGTGCGACCCCAGCGACGGCATTTTTAATGGCTTCCGTCGCGCCGACGACTTCTACGAGGGCTTCTCTCGTGGTCTGCTGACGGACGTGCTCACCGAAATGCCCTTTGTCGAACACGTTACCTTTGACGCGTGGAGCAGCGTCCGGAAGAAGGGCGCCATGATGCGCGGGCTGATCAATACAGCGCTGTCGCATGGGAAGCAGATTCTGTGGGGACCCGAGAGAGGCTGGTCTGATTTGGATAATGAAGAGGATATCGTGGTACCTACGAACGACATGGTGGCTACTGCACTGCTTAATGGTGTCGGTATGGACGTTGTCATTGTTGCTTGACGTGTTCACGCCGCAGGTCAATAATGAAGGGTATGATGGTGGTCTGGGAGCATATTGGGTTGGGACAGGCGTTTTTGGGTTAGTTTGGGATTGCATTGCGAACTGCTTTTATCTGGAAGTTGTACAATATGAAGAGCGCACCATGACGTCGCTACTCAATCTATCGGGGTACGTTAAAGTGTGTTTAGTCCCTATTACGAGCCGAGAGCCATTTGACTCGCATTTCTAAAGAACTTGACCGATAAATTGAGTCTTATCTCGTGAAGTCATCTGAGGTCCCCATATACCTTGTGACAAGTAAAGCGCTCTGTAGACGAATAGGGGCTTGAACCTCAGCCAAAGATATCTGCATCATAATCAGATTTCAACCGCACGTCACTTGTCCGTCAAGCTGATTATTGAGAGTTGAAGCCACGATCAGAATAGGATCTCCATCTGAGAGAAAGCTTGAGAGAAAAACATAGACGAAGCACCGTCACATGCCGAACGGTCCGGGTCCAAACCCCCTGAGACTTCCCCAGGTTTTGCGGGCTTGGCGTCCATTGACGGCCGGACGGAAACGGACCCCAACGGTGTCATTGATCTCCACAGTCCCACTTGTCAGCCGGCCGTCGCCGAGCTTCCCACGCTTCCCTCCCGCTTGTGTCGACGACGGGCATGATGTATTGCATCCTGCAACATGTGAACATCACTATATGTTTTGGAGATATATAAGTGATCTTTAATCACCTCTTGGTTGGTTAAACACTCGAGATATTGTATGAGTTGAGCGTTCGAGATACCTTACTAAGACACTTACACCAAAGAACTACACTACTTGTCCCAAGTGACCCCGCAACCTCGGCTGTCAACTTGTTGTCGATCAGATTCACAACTGAACTACAACAACACAATATCATAGTCCCTATCAACATCAGCAAAGATGACAAAGGAAGATCCCATCGTCAAGGCGTTGCAGCAGTACACAACGTATGTCATCAATCATCTAAAGAACCCCGTTATTGTCGAACCCACGAATTAACACATCAAAAATACACAAAAACAGGTGCGATGTCTCGGACGCCCTCATCAAGCTCAAGTATCGCAATGGCGGTTTTCTCTCCGGTCTGACCATGTGGTCCCCCCACCGTCAAGAAGGCGCAACCAAAATCGTCGGTCCCGCCTACACAGTCCGATATGTTCCTTTGGATGACCCGAGACCAAAGCACCCTACTCACTATGTAAGTCACTTAAGTTACTCAACCTCACTTTCATTTATTCTTTCTTGCATGATTCCAAACTAAACAAAACATCAACATGCATCACTCAGATCGACGACGTCCCCCAAGGCTCCATAGTCTTCGTCTCCGCCCCCGCCAAGACCCCCAACGCCGTCTACGGCGGCCTCATGTCCACGCGCGCCCGCGCCCTAGGAGCCGTCGGCTCCGTCATCGACGGCCGCTTCCGGGACCTCCAAGAGCAACGAGACCTGCATTATCCCATTTTCGCTCGGGACGTGGGCACTGCGCCGCCTGCCGAGCTGTTGAAGGTGGTCGCTGTGAACGTGCCCGTCAAGCTGCAGACGGACGAGCAGGAGGATATGATGATTAACCCGGGGGATTATATCGTTGGGGATATCAATGGCGTGGTGGTCCTTCCCAAGGAGATGGCGGAGCAGGCGCTGCCGTTGATGGCGAAGCAGGTGGAGGCGGATGCAAAGATGCAGGTTGCTATTGAAGGGGGGATGAGTTTTGCGGAGGCTAGTAAGAAGTTTAGGGGGTGAGATGTCTTGGGGGTGGTTTGGGCTGGTTTCGGATGAAAGCGACTGATGATGAATAATGAAGTTCTTGAGTTTTCTTTTGGTTTGGATGTGCCCTACTTTGAGAATAATCCAAGCCCAATGTTAACTTGGCGTATCCCGCAAAACCTTATCAAAGTCAAACAGATAGCAGCAATGAGCAGATCACAAAACGGGATAACGACCATAGAAGCAACTGAGCTTGTACACGCAATAATGCATATAGGGACAGAAAATCCTAATCCAATTGGTGTTCTATCCAAAAGAAACCCACTACCCCATATCATCCCCTACATGAAACATCAAAACATCACGACTTTGCATAATCCAACCTCTTCTTCGCCTCACTCCATAACTGCTGATCAGGCGTCACACCCCTCCTCTCCAACCGCCTCCTGGACTTTGACCTCGTCCGATCCTTCAAGACCCCTCGATCGCGGCTTTTCCCTCTTTCATCTCTATGCCTCTCTCCCTCCCCCCTAAGCCTTTCTTGTCTCTCGCTCCTCTCGCCCGTCCTCCGTCTGTATTTCCTTCCACCAACCATCCTCCTCAACCCCCTCACAACAGCTCTATCAACATCCACACCAAACCACCCCGCCACTCCTGCGCCGGCCAACAGCACCGCCCCCAAAATCACAAAGAAATCCATAAAATGCACCACCCACCACAAATGCTGGGTGCCCATCGGGCACGTCGCATACTCGGCCTTCCACTCCCACTCCTCCTCGTCGAACCAGACGCTCAGAAGCCCCGCGTTCCCGCCAAACTCGCCCATCATGCTTCGCACCGTCACCTCCCTCACGCCCGGCATATCCTCGCGACCGATCAGGGACTCCTTCTTGGCCTGCTTGTACCTCTTGACCTCCCACTCCCTCTGCTTTCTCTCGATCTCGTACTCCCCGTCTTCAGATTGGACAAGCCTCTCCACCTCGACAAAAGACTGGTTGATATAATGCCATGTATCGCACCCCTCATGATCATGTCCGTTCAGTATAATCCCCCTCCTGCCCTGGCCGTTGCCAGGCGCGTCTTTATTTCCCGACATTCCCAGCATGCCCTCAAGGAACCCCTTGCTGGCCGCCAGACTCAACTGGTTCTGCTCCTTCAAGGTCCCGTCGTGGTCGTGGAAGGTGAAGAGCGGCGAATCGACGCAGACGCCGTCGGGTTTGTAAAGCGGCACGTGCGTGAGCACCAAAGTGAAGTGGCCCTTGAACTGCACCGCGCTGGCGGTGTTGATGACGCTGTTGATGAAGGAGTAGGTGTCGTCTTGTAGTTCGGTCGACAAAGCGGGCGTGTCGAGGTTCATGTCGTTGAGTACGACGAGACGGAGTTCGGGCACGAGACGGTCGGAGAGCGGGTTGTCGAGGGCGTCGAAGAGGGTCGAGGTCAGGGACTTGTTGGTAAGGGGCAGCTCGAAGCGGAGCTCGTAGTTGATCTTGCCAAAGGCGTCTTCGAAGCGCGCGGTAAGATTAGTGTTAATGTCGCCTGCGTATCCAATGTCATGGTTCCCCGCTACGTTGATGATGCGCTTGGTCCAGACGGAAGAGTCGTTGGCTGGACCGCTAGTCGAGAGGTAGCCGGTTAGGTCGTACTCGTCGGCTGGGTACATGGCGACTTCGTCGGGGACGCGCTCGCCGCCTTTGAAGACGCGGTTCCAGAAGCGGTGGGCGCGCCAGTAGAATTCATCGTCGGTGACCCACTGACTGCCAAGAAGGTCACCGAGAACGGTGACATGCGTCGGGCGTGACCACCAGTGTAGCGTGCGGTAGATGTGGGCAAGGTAGTAGTCGTTACCCCAGTGGTCGAAGCGCTTGCGGTAGGACTCGGCAAGGTTGAAGACGTCTTCGAAAAAAATATCGACGATCTCGTGGAAGCACTGGCGGAGGCGCCATCGTAGAGAGGCGTGGCTGGTCTGGAAGGTCAGGTGGCGGAAGAGGCTCTTGACGTGCGGGAAGACGCCTAGGTACTCGGTTGGGATCGAGGTGTCGCCTTCGAGCTGCGGGTCGCCGAGTGCGAGGAGACGAAACGGCGCAAGCGGTCGCGAAGGTGTAACGGTGGGTGTCGAGGTAGGATCGGTTTCGTCTACGGGCACAGACGGTAGCGAAAGGTGCAACTTGACCGTCTCGAGGAAGGCATGGTAGCCTGTGTCGGCGGGCGCATTATGTTGGACAGGCGGCAATGGAAAGGCGCATTTTCCGAAAAAGGGGAAGAAGTAGAGGTATATCGTCAGAGCTAGGGAGATGGGGAGGAAGATGCGCAAGCCCTTGCGGAGGGTCGCCGTCGGGGACCAGGAGAGTTGCGACATTGGATGTTGACTATCGCGACATGGGGAAACAGAGACACATGTGAAAGGGTATATAGGGTATAGACCAAAAAAGAGAGAGAAAAAGCAAAAACACTATGCCCTCAAACGAGAGGTCTGAAGAGTCCTCGTGGAACCGGGACAATGAGTGTCAGGGGTCTGTTGTTGTGATAATTCCCGATTTGGAGTCGACAAAAAAAGGAGTCAACAAATTGCGCCGCATGAGAGCGTGTCGGCGATGCTCCAGTCGTGTTTCGCCAATTTTCAGGTGAAGAATGCCAAGAGTTGAGGGGGAGAAGAGGGGGGGGGGGATTTGCCGGCGGCAACTGCACTCGAACGTTATGTCATGGTTCAACTCCACTGCATGCCCCTGAATTGGAGTTCCCCAGATCCATGGTGCTCACCATGTCTTGGTATAAGGGGTCCAGATCTTGTCAGACCCGACATAGGAGTTCTTCAACATGGGGGTCGTACGACCTATCCCTCAAAAAGAAAAAAAGGGAGTTCTACACCAGTGGATGATGGTTTCCCCTAAAAACCAAATCTTTTTCTGATCATCCTGAAGGCTCTGGAAAGTGACAAGCTCAGACAAATCATCTTACCGGTGGCAACGCTCGTCGACAATCATCAAGTCAGTCCGAAACATTGTCCGTGATTGTGTAGCTGCCAACGGCTCCGTGGCCCGGCAAGCAGAGTCAGTCCAACTGATGTGCAAGTTTCAAACACCGTCTTCCCGCCTTGCTTTGACTGCTAGTCTACTGGCCGGTAACTCATAGATTTGCTTCTCTATGTTAATGGGGGGCTCATCAACCTTGTGTGCCTTGACGCAAAGTCCTTCTCCTCCACACGGTCTTGTTGAGGCCGAGCTCCATCTTGCAATGTTGACTTTGTAGCAGTGTACAGGGAAAATCACTGGCCCTAGACCTTCGTTTTTCCGTCGGACAGCACAGACCAAAGACAGCTGAAGGTGTACGCGAAGAGTGGCACCAATCAGTTTACACCGAGATCGGTCCTACACAGATCTTGACACTCGTTGCCTTGTCAGTCGCGTATAGGTGAGATAGAATGGGGGAGTGGGTTAAAGTCATGATGAATTCGAAGCATAATAAGCTCCCCGGGAGCCGTCCTTGCATGCGGCTTGATTTCTGGAAGGCTTTTGACAGATTCGAAATAACAGCAAATCTTGGAATTTTGACAAGAACTCTCCGATCAGTGCCCTTAATGCAGATCCTATCCAAGCTTTTGTTTGCGGCAGTGCTATTCTTGGGTGCGGTCCATGGACTGGCCATTGAACCTGTTGGGGGCCTGGACAATGTCGAGCCCACGGGACATAACGAAACCGCCTTCGGAGGATGCACACGCGTGAGTGACTCTTTTGCTTTCTTGGTTTCAGTACGTACCCACCCAGTACTAATGCTGCCTCAAGTGGTATATGACGCCAGGAACCCACCCCCTCGACATGGACTTCTTAGCAGAATGCCAGACCGAAGATGGTTCGTATCTGAAGTCACGGCAGTATCTCGGACAGTGCATCGCCAACGTCGATGGTTATCTGATGATGCAAGACAAGTAAGTTTTCTTGGTTTTTTACCTTTCAATCACAACAGATAACTGACGAGCAATCCGTCAGTGGATGGTTTGGTAATACCTGCGGTGATTGCTGGCTCAGTCCCGACCCCAAGGGGAAATTGGGTATGTTTACATGGCTTCACTGCAGCTGTTATGATGGCGAGAAGTGGGGTGACACCTACATAAATCTTGGTAAGCAAAGATTCCGAGTTTGGCTTTGTGATGTTACTGACAAGGAGGTCTTAGATGGTATTATCAGCAATTTTCATGGTTTGCTTAGTTGCCTCGGTCACGTTGCGGTACTGGCCTGATGGGAGGGAAGTTTGTGGTGGGCTGGGGTGTCTGTGGAGTTTAGAGTCACCAAGAGTTCTGGCTTTTAGGTCTTGTTTGGATAGTGGGAAAAGGCGAACTGATTCGATTTTTTTTTCTTTGAAGAAAGGGATAGGGGAAAGTGGAAGGATGTTTTACCTTGGAATTTTCAGATAACGATGTAACAGCCAGTGGTATACATGTCAGGAAGACGTATGATGCATCCTTTTCCCATAACCAAAGCGCCTTTTCATTTCTGTTCAATATCTTCAACCCGAACGCCGACCTTGCCGCCATGCAGCCTGAATCTAAACCAATGCGCCGCGCAAACGCCGTTATGTTCCCTCCCATAATTCAGTACTCTTCATCATAGTCGTCCAACCGCGGAACAGTGACATCAAACGGCACATTGCCCTCCGACTCAGGATCAACCAGCGCAAAGGCCACAGCGCTTACATCCGCAAGCTTGGATGATTCTACCGTGTCCTCGTCTTCCACCTTGAGCTTCTTCCACCCGTGGCTTAAATCCCCATTAGGGTGTCTAGGGATTCCATAAACGATTTTGACATCGCCTTCGGGGAGAGGGACCGGTTCGGCATCGACGCTGAATGTAAGACCGTTGGGGTAGCGGTCATGGAGGATCATGAGTAGCTCTTCGGACACCTTGGCAAAGGTCCAATCTAGCATAACGAAGAGGAAGATTGTATGGATACCGCATTTGAGGCGAAGGGTGATGCGAGGGTCATCGACCGGGTTGTTGGTGGTGCGAGGCTGGGACGACGGTGATGGTCAGCAAAGTTGGAGAGAAGCCCGACGGAGATGGCGGTTTTTTACCATTGTGACTTTTCAACTATGACGGTAATGGGGTCTTTGAGACGGACTATGTTTAGTGTACAGAAGAAAAAGTAGAAACCCTTTGTCAAGATTTCGCTAGGCTGAGATCTAAAAAGTTGGGGTCAGTTTGTTCCTGGCATGTGGAAGCTGCAACAAGGGATGGACAGTGGGGTTGGGCTGTGATGACGTTGGTCGGGTGGCCCAGGTTGGAGACTGCAGACGCGATCCGACCCGCTTTCTCCGCGTTTTGGAGGGGGCAGCTAGAAGGGAGCTCGGGCCATTTCCAATCTCTGATATACACATGCAGGCATGCAGCCGACCAAGCTGTTCGGTTCCCGTCTCGTCAACCTGGACTTTCGGGGGAGATTTCAAGTTGTTTCCAGTGACACTGATCCAGTTCCCTTGTCTTTCACTGTCCAACACGGTGGATCGCCAGCAAACAGCTGCAAAACACCTTGACGTCTTTACATCGGCTCGAGCTGCCCCAATTGAACTCCACAACTTCCATTGCCTGAGGATTCCGACAAGCACATCACGACAGGAGACTGCGATACGACATTCGATACTGGTCGACATGTCAACCACCAAAGAAACCGAGGCCGCCGCGCCAGAGTCCGTCCCCGAATACGTTACCAAGTGTCGTCTTTCCATTCCGGATGCCGTGCGAATCCCCCTTGCGTCGAGCACTGCTCTGCTCATTGGCTTCACACTTGGAATAAGCCAGGGCATCAAGACATCCGGTATGCGCTTTCGCGCCGAACACGCCCATAAGCTGCCGACCACCAAGATGGGATGGTACTTTTACCACAAGAGCAAGAACTACAACTCAATCTGGGGCGGCGCCAAGGAGGGTGCCAGGATGGGAGCCAAGATTTGCTTCTGGACAACAGCCATGTTTGGCATCGAGCACATGTTTGACGCCTATCGCGGGACGGCCGACATCTTCAACACTGTAACCGCCTGTGTGACTGTTGCGGGAGCCTTCAGTCTATGGAGTACGTGATTGTCTGTCCTAAATCTTGCGCATCAAACGCTAATCATGACTTTCTCATATAGATCGATTCTCTTTGCCCATGGCGGCTCGAACAACCAAAACTGCCCTGGTCGTAGGTCTCGCATACGGAGGCTTGCAGGATGTAGCTGGCATCGCAAGAGGTCGACCCATCGGATATGTCGAATTCCTCAAGCGCCGCGTTGGCGGCTTTAAGAATACCGCGGACGAAAACCAGAAGGAGCGGGTGATTTAAAAACGACAAAATCCCAATCCTCTCTGCCCACACTTTCGCCCAAAGGTACATCCCAATTCGATCGGTGAAGAGATACAAAACACAAGGTTGGTTAGTTGCTTTTCAATGTTACCATCACAGCCGATTTCGGAAGCCCCAAATGCTCCGCAACGGTTATTCAAGGTCGAAACAACACGACCCCTGCAACTTATCGGACAGTCGGTTTACTAGTCCATTTCTATGACAAACTCAAGACCCTCAATTCTGCACGAAATGCCCAAGCATTGTGGGAATCCAACATGGCGCCCGCTCAGCCGCATCGGATTCTATAGAGTAGAGTCTAGACATATACCGGCGTTCTTTCGCCGAGGTATGCCCACAAGTCATCATTATTGGCCAGTACGTATCGAAGGTTTCCAACGTCGGCATTGAATTTCAAAGAGCCGGCGGCCTACATCAGGGGTAAAGGTATCAGCTGATTGGTGGGTATATCTAGGAAAGCTCTGGAATGCTTGTATTGGAACTGTTATTACAGCATCCTTCCATTGGCGAGACAGGGCTGGGAAGAACCAATTGTTGACCATTCATCAAGCGTGCATCAAAGGGGGGACGTCACTCAGCCCAATCTCCTCTCCGATCACCCCCCAGCAGATCGCGGCTACTGGCGGCCTTGGGGGACGGCCACGTGACGCCCGATAAGAAGCAAGCGCAATTGATGCCAATGGCCGCATCAGGTACCATCCCGCCGCAGCATCACCCGCGTCAACGAAACCTTGACAAAGGAGGATCGATGAGGGTTTATCCCAGATAGTAGAGTAGCAAGTCGGCCTGCACTTGTCTTCTGCCCGTCCCACGCTGCGCTAGTGTACTCGGAGGGGATGGATCTGGTACGTTCGATTTGCTAGCGGTCCCGGCCTCCCAGGGGCGAGCCAGAGATAAAGATGAGACGAGGGTCTGTGGTATGGTTGATTGCCATGAATCAAGCTGCATCTATATATCACACAGTCATAAACCCCGTCTCTATTTTCCTCGGTACCTGCCTCATCATTCTTTGTGTTTGTGCGGTGTTGACCTGTCTTTGTTTGGTCTCATCCCGGTACCTCCATCCTACACTGCAATATGTTTCCTACTTCAACATCACCTGCCAGCAGGCAATTGGTTTGCAACATAGGACATGCTCGGGCAAGAAGCATTGCTTCGGCCCTTGGACCTGCCGTCGCTTCTATCTCACGTCATCATGTCTCACATTCAACTCTAATGGTCGGGCGTATCAACGGCGTCGGGAGAACATATGCCACACGACTTATACACTCCTCCACCAACCGACCTAAGCCTACCGACCACCTAACCATCGACAACGCATCATCATTACCAGCAACAGGCGGGCCCCAATCCAATGAGATGCCCAAGACACCGGGGCCTTCGCCATTGGCAGTACTGCCACTAACAAACGTCCTCCGATCATGGATGACCACCACCGTCTCGTCCTCGCCCTTCCTCCTACCGCCTTCACTAGCTGTCATGTCCGTCCTAGCCCATACTACAAACCCAGTTCTTAACCCCGACCGAAACCCTCTCCTCCGCGCATTCCTCAAGAAGACCTTCTACGCCCAATTCTGCGCCGGTGAGAATCCGGCCGAGGTCCGCCAAACCATCGACTCCCTCAAGCAAATCGGCTTCAGTGGTGTCATCCTCGGCTATGCCCGTGAGGTAGTTCTCACCGATTCGGAGACCAAAGATCTCGCCTCCTGCGCGGCCGAGGGTGGCGCCGCTGCGGAGGAGTGCATTCGCACGGAAATTAATCCCTGGGCCGAAGGAACCATGGAGACCGTCCGCCTTGCCTCTCCCGGCGACTTCGTAGCTCTCAAATTCACCGGTGCCGGCCGCCAGGCCCTTTATAGTCTCTCCAAACAGCTCCCACCCTCCGAGGCCCTAGGCTCTGCCATCGACGGGATCTGCAACCTCGCCGCCGAGCGGGGCGTCCGCCTCCTCTTCGACGCCGAACAAAATGCTCTCCAGCCTGGCATCGACGACTGGACGCTCGACTACATGCGCCGCTACAACAAAACCAGCACCGGCAACGCCGTAGTCTACGGCACTTACCAAGCCTACCTCAAATCCACACCTGCCACTCTCTCCAAGCACCTCGCCATCGCCGCGTCCGAAGGGTTCACCCTCGGCGTGAAACTCGTTCGCGGCGCTTACTTGGGCGCTGATCCCAGACATCTCATCTGCGACACCAAGGCCGACACGGATGGCCAGTACGATGGGATTGCTGAGGCCTTGCTCCGCAAGACCTGGTCTGGCCCCTTGCAACCTCCTGCCCCCCAGTCTGGATCTGCTGAAAAGGAGATGACCAACTTCCCCGACGTGGGCGTCGTTCTAGCCACGCACAACCGCGAATCGGTACTCAAGGGCAAGGCCCTTCTCGACAGCGGCGTGGCCAAGCTGGGCTATGAACAGGTGGCGTTCGCCCAGCTGCAGGGAATGGCGGACGAGGTTAGTTGTGAGCTTGTTGCTGGGCCGCACGAGAGTCCCAAGGAGATGGAGATAGCGGCGGAGAAGGAGAGTGCGAAGGGCAGTGAGAAGGGAAGTGAAATGGTCAATAAGCCGCAGGTGTACAAGTACCTGGTGTGGGGATCGACGGGGGAGTGCATGAAGTATTTGTTGCGGAGGGCTTATGAGAATCGGGATGCGGTGCAGAGGACGAGGAGTGGACGGGAGGCGATGGGAAGAGAAGTTAGGAGGAGAGTGAAGGGGTTGTTTGGGGTTTCTTCTTAAGCTCTCCAGTGGGTGTAAGAACCCGAAATGTCAATTGTTTATGGCCTTTGGGGATCATTATTTTTGGCGCATTGCGAGGGTTGCTTGGCATCTTGGATCGATTACCTAGATTTGGCCTTGGTCTGAGCGTTGGACCTTGCTTGACAGATACAGATACAAAATATTCAAGTCATGAATCAAAGCCTCTGGACCTGGTCGTCGTGATTTCTGTCTTCCCACTCAAAGGTCCTATGACAATGTTGTTTCCAACATCAAAACTTTGTGAGATCAACTTACCGTTCTTTTAGCATGCCAGTGAAATTACCTAAAATCCTGCCCTGGACAAGCGCCAATTTACTAGAGTCCCGCCAATAATTCAGCAATGGAGGCCATGTTCCCGCTTCGATCCTGACATGCATTACTTTTGTCTTTTCTTTCCTTCTTTTGCTCTTTTTTTGTATGCATTGCCCAGACACTTTCGCCAAGGCTACACAGTAAAGAGTTAGTGGTATCTTAGTTTGGTGTCAGTTCAACATGCAGCTTTCCATGTCCAAGCCAATGCGTTTCCATAACCCAATGCTATCTCAGGTCATTCCCCAACCTCTAGAGGTAAGGTATCTTACTTCATTCTTATCTGTCAATCGACTTTTGTCTTACCCTTTATCTTGTCCTATTCTTGTATTCCTCCTCCCGCCAATCCTTTGCCTCATCTACAACCCCCTCAGCGCAATCCCACTAATAATCAACCCTTCCATCTCCCTCCTTCTCCCCTCCTCATCCGCCTTGTCTATCCTCTCCACGCCCGGCATACCATTCAGCTTGTAATACTTGCGCACTTTTACCCAATCCGTCGACTTGGCGAATTCCTCATTTGTAAGCGGTACGGGCGTGCCTTGAATGTGAGTGGTCAGGTGTTGCCATATGCTTTCTGGCGTTAGTTGTTCGCTGGTGATTGTCGAGTTTTCGGAGGAGAGTTTGGGGTAGACGACTTTGATGACCAGGACGTCGCGCGTTTTGGAAGGGGTTAGACCGTAGCGGCGGTAGGATTCGGAGATCTGTTTGTTCGTTTGGTTGTTTGTTAGCTCATGGGTTCACTTGAAAAACGCAGTCAAGGTCGAATTATCATTGCAAAAGAGGAAGGGGATGGATGGATGGATAGAGAGACGAACATTGTTGGTCGGACTTAGCCCAATGACAATATCGGAATGGACGTTGGGCGTCTGAAGGGTTCCCTCAATCAAGGTGTTGAGCGCGCGGAAGATGGCGGCGAACAGGTGTGTGCGGGAGATGATGACCGAGGCGTCGATGAAAGCGTACTCGAACTCGGGGTTCTTGCCGATGAGCTGGGCTTGGAGGAAGTCAACGTTTTGGACGTCGCGGAAGAGGGCGGCGTAGACGTGGTGGTCCGAGGGGACGTGTTCGATTCGGAGGGTTTCGAGCGCCATTGCAATGGTTGTGATATTTGGTTGTGATGGTCGTGATGGTGATGGCTGGTGGGGTAGGTGGACGGAATGCGACGGGTTGATTGATGTGTTATTGAATCATGTGTCGGTTCGTTGCTGAAAAGCCGACGTCAGTTATGTTTGAATTGAGGTTGAGAATGTGTTTGGGTGCCGTACCGTACTCTTTCTTTGGGCAATTTCCGTGATACTTTTTCCGATTTGGCGATAAGGAAACAGGCTCGAAAGATGAATGCGACGGCGAATCCATCCTTGTCCATCGGCGGGATCTCCATGGCGGGGCAGATCCCCGGGCGCCGGGGCGCGTCGCGCTGATGACAGGGATCAATACCTACACAAGTGACCCCGCCAAGCATGTCAATTCCAAGAGGCCCGGACATCAGCCCCTTTAACGTTTGACTGTATGCATTGGGTCATATACTACGTAACAGGGAATCAACTTGTCACATTGCCGATGGGTCGCTGTTCCGATTGTCTGAGTTTCTTCCATCTGACAGCCCAAAAAGTGGAACATGGCGCGCGTGCAGCCGTCGAGGTTCTCACAATCTCTCAGTCGCAAAAACGCAACCACAGCGGACACATGAACGCATGTCTCGGATTGTCTAGAGGTACGCTTCCCATTACCTTGCGACGGCCAGAGACTATCAGCAATATGCTGTGTTTTAGGGAATGTCGTTGTCGACGGATACACGGATGCCGCGGCGCACCTCGACTTTGACATGATGGTTGTTGTCTTGGGAAGGGAGACCACCTGTAGTCCCGACCCTACCTCAGTCGATGTCGATGGGAAGAGGTGTGAAATATTGAATAGTAGTTGAAGAAATAAAAGAAGGCTATACGGCACTGCTACAAAAAGCCACATTTTTGATGTACTAGGTAGAAACAGGAGAGCGTTCGGCTTCCTATTGAATGAGCACCGATCTTGAGGGCTTTGAGCGAGATGCCCAGAAACAGGCTGCTCACTTCGGACGAAGGTCAGTTCCTCCAACATACAATAAAAACTCCACACCCAGCTTAACTCACGCTCGGATATTTTCAGCCATGGATGTTCCCTTTGCCATGCACCGATGATCGTGATTGCATTGGGAACAATGATTGGGAATTGGACCAAATCCGTGAACTCGACTTCCATGCATGGGCCGAGAAGATGCAGCCATGCCAAATCGGGACACTCGCAGAACGGATCCGCCCCGAGTGAAATCGGATTCATTCGACGAGGACGAATTGCTCTTGACCTGAATGGGCCATGTTTCCCATTGCCTTTTTGTCGCAATCATGGGCCGGTGAAAGCATGTTCCTTCTTTCCTTTCAATGTTCTTGGGTTGATCAGCGATCGACGGCCGGGCCCCCCTAGTCCGTGAACTTTTAATTCCCTTCAGTTGAATTCCTCGATCCCGGCGCCCTGGACACATCCATCCATTCCTTGATTGACGCTTTCGGAACCGACATCCCTCGCTCTCACTCCCCTCCCCTCCAGGAATTCAGCGCCATCAGTGCCTCCCTACACTTCGCGTCAAGGCTCCCGGTCATCGTTCAATATTAATTGGCACGCAATATCCACCGCGCGGCAATCTCCATCGCACATCCGTCCCGTCCGTCCCTTTCCATCCCGTCCCTCTCTTCTCACGATACACCACAACCACCACCACCATCACCACCACCACTACCCTGACCACAGTCAGACCAGCGACTCAGCGTGACAGCTGAAGTCCGTCGGCGCCGTCGCTCATCCGCTCGCTTGCTCACTGCGCTACAACTCCACGGCATAAACCGTTCCCAAGAAACCACCCGATTGACAACAAACCAACCGCTTCGCTGCCCACGACGATTACTACCATCATTCTTTCGAACCGTCATCTCGAATCGTTCCACGCTCGCCTACAAATTTGGTCAAACTTCGAGACTCAAACATTATGCCCCCAGGCGGTCCTCCAAAGCGGCCAAGCGAAGCCGGGGACACTCCTCTCGACAATGGCTTACAACCCAAGATGAAGCTGCCCCGTCTTGAGCGCAGTACAGAAGACTTTTCGAGTGTTGTCAAGAGCAAGCTCTCACAATACACGCGGACTGGTCAGGCTTGTGACAGGTGCAAGGTACTGAGTTTCCGACCTGTCGCTCTGACAGCCTGCTGCGCGTCTAACCGGCGTCGCGTTCCCGTAACATACTAATTTCTGTGCGTCCCCAGGTCCGAAAAATCCGCTGCGATGCCTCCCCTGCGGGCTGCTCCCATTGCGCGAGCCAAAATATCGAATGCGTCGTAACAGACCGTGTAACAGGCCGTACCGAACGTCGAGGCTATACCCAACAACTCGAAGCCAGGGTGAGGGACCTCGAAAGAGTGCTGGCCGACCATAAAATCGAAATCCGGCCGTGGGAAGGGTCAAACGCTAATAGAAACCCCCACCCTCCGGGTGTCACCCTGGATGCCATGGGGAATCCCATCCACGATCCCACTTCCCAAGGCGAATGGCAGCAACAAGGCTCGGTGTGGTATAGAAAAAGCAGGCGAGGGTCACAGAGCACACCAGGGTGTTATACGAGATGTTCGCTCTTGGAATCGAGGCCGACAGAGAGCTACCTAGGCGTTACATTTAAGGGCACCACCCTTTCGGTTCTTGGAACTACCATTGAGATCACTTCGTTTGACGATCCTGACCCAGACATGGATGAGCCTTCGCCAAATACTCCCATCGGATCACCGTTGTACAACAAATCGGTCACGGCCTTTTATCAGTCCTTAGTCAGGATAAACCCGCCAATGGAACATTGCGACCTCCCCTCGAGACACGACGCCTTTACATATGCCGAGTGGTACTTCCTCACCATATACCCGTACATGCCACTAGTCCACAGGCCTTCGTTTATGCAGCTCTTGACTCGCATCTATGATGATCCGGGCTTTAAAGCAACAGTACCCGAACTCGTACTGGTCCGCATGATGATATCAAGCATGTACTTCCAGTACGGTATCAGGAACCATCGCGAAAAGCCAGAGGACCATGCGCAGCTGAATGATCTTTCCAACAAGCACTACCATTGGTGTTTGAGTAAGTTCTTCGAACTTGCCGTTTCTCAGACGGTTACCGCGGTCCAGGCTTTGGCCATGCTGGCGTCTCACACCCGCAATTTTCCCAAACCAGGATGTTCCTTCACCATTGCCAACTTTGCCATGATGAAGGCCATTGAACTCAACTTCCATCGGAGCAACAAGATACCGAATGGGCGCACAACTCTTGAAAACGAATTGCGCAAAAGGGTGTGGTGGTCCATCCTGGGTATCATCATTACCCTTAACGGCCGACTTGGCAGGCCAATGCCCATCACACTCGAGGAATTCGACATTGAGTTCCCAATCGCTATTGATGACGAGTATCTCGGAGAAGATGGCATCTTGGACCCATCCAAGATTGGTCATTGCTGCTATCAAATTGGGCTCGCCGGCTTCAAGGCTGTTCCTTTGTATATGGAGATGTATTCTAGCATCTACAGCGTGAGGCGAGATCCCAAGAAATATGTCGATACTGTCGCCGAACTTGAGGCTGGAATGCGCAAGCTAACGAATGAACTACCCGACTGTCTGCGAGTGGAAAAGTGTCAGCCGACCGACTTGGTGTTTGCACTGTATACCCAGGCCATCAGTCTCGAGTTTAAGCTTTGTCTTAGACATCCGTCGGTTTGTCTAGAAAAGGACCCCAAGTTCTGTGCTGAGAACACAAGGATATGCGAGCAGACAGCTCGGAAGCTATTGAAGGTGGTAGGGGAGCTGTTGAAACTCAAGTCTCTGGACACAACATGGTACCAGTTGTCGGTATACGTCGCCTCAACTTTGACGATTCTCGTCGCAAACTGGGAAAGGAGACATGAAATCACACATATGGAGATGGCCACGTTAAGGGCAGATATGGTCTTGGGCCTCGAAATTATCAGCGAGATTGGTCGACTAACAGGTACCGGAAACCGTCTAGCAACAACCCTGGACACGATTATCAAGCAGACCATCACCCGCATCGAACGCGACATGAGCCGTAAGGATGGACTGTCAGTCGACCAGACCATAGCCAAACAACAATCAGCATCACCATTCCAGCAGCAGCCTCTCTTACCATTCAAGCAACCACTCAACAGCAACGGTATTGCGTCCAGTCACTCGGTCACACCCAATGACCACCGCAGCAGCGTCAGCACAAACGGAACCGGGTACTACGATGGCTCAGCAACCCCCTACCAAACCATGTCTGTGAATGAAAACAGCGCCGACGCCCACCAAACCAGCAACGGCGTTAGCCTAGCAGCCTACGACCCCTCCGGCGGCAGTGTGCAATACCTCTACGCAACAGCCACCCCAACCTCATCAACAGCACCCCCTCAAACCGTTGCCGCAGTAATGGACCAAACCTCTTCCGCCATCAACCCTCTAATAGCTTTCGCTTCTCAAGCCACCCAGCACGTTTCTACAACAGGCCAACCGGGTACCGGAGCCGAAGAATGGCGACCACAGGTTCACCCGCAGTTTGCCGTAGCATCAGTCGCTTCCAATGCACCCAACAATAATGCATGGCATGACTGGGCGGCCGCCATGGCTGATTCCCAAGAGCGGTACAGCGCTAATGCGCTACTAACTCTGGGGTCAACCAGGCCGGGTGACGTGTCGGGGGCCGGAATGGTCGACCATTCGCATGCGCATGTTAATGGCGGAGCTGGCCACGGACCGGGAGACGGAGCTGATGGGCTGGGAGTGTCGGCGGCGGAGTCAGCTGTGGTTGGAGCCGGGGGTGGACAGTGGCCGCTGCTGTTGTTCTCGGATGTTATTGGGAATGGGAATGCCTCGTAGGGAGGGAAAATTGCCGACGAAGAGTAAATTGCGGAAGAGGATGATAATAAACTGGAGGAGATGTGATGAGATGAGAAAAAGAGCAGGATGATCGGAAAAGCGAAGGGAAGCGTGAGTGGGATAGGAGGGGGTGGAAGAAACTTTAAGGAGGCGATGGGACTGCTGTAGGCGTCTCATCGGTGCTGCGGTTTTGGTCTTCCAACTGCCGTATCATTTCGTCTTGGGTTAGATCATATTTTGTATCTGTGGTCTATATCCGGACCTTGCAAAACACAAAAGGTACTAGGGAAAGCGAGGTGTTTGGGAGTTTGGAGGCGGGATTCTCTCTGGGCTGTTCTGGTTTTCAAAAGACGGAGTTTTGATTCTTGGATCAGCATGGAATGGATTGGGTAGCGAGGGACGGGAAGGAAATGAGAATGGGAATGGCAATCGGGCGTTATAGGTACTATTAGGTGCTGCTGCTTGCTCGTTTCGCTGGTTGGGGATTTAGGAACTTGAGGGTTTCCATGGAATGCATTGGGAGCTGGGAGCTAAGGAGTCAAGGATCGGTTTTTTGGGGTATCGGTGGTTGATTTTTTTTTCTTTTTTTTTCTACCTTCTGTGCATAGGATGTTAGGCGTTTTTAATGAAGCAGTACTTTTTCTTTCGTCTTTCTAGATGCTGAGGGTAATGGTAAGTCTTCAAATGACATTCGATGGCTGTAACACCAAAACACAGTCGATAAGTATTCAGATGAGGTTGTGCATCCAGGGATCGAATTCATCTTGTGGTAGGCACGAGTGATGAAAAGTAGAGTGGTACACAACCGTTGGAGATATGACTTTCTTACTGGTGGGTAGGTAAGGTAAATGACAGGATCTGGTAACATGGGTTTATAGTGTGGACTTGAAGGTCTGGGATACTCTACCTCGTTGTCCTTATTAGCCCAAAAGTCACACTCAAACTCAAACTCGAGAACAAAAAAATGGATATTAACACCCAAATGCTTTTGGGGTAAAAAGTTAAGGGGGGGAGGGGGGGAGGGGGGGGGTTTCTAATTTCGAGAGGACATCTTGAATTCATAAACTTGAGGGTGTCGAAGTCTTTCTGGAAGGTCCGCGAGATTCAGAGTGGGTGATGGGATGATCGCCGATTGGCATATTTGATGCGTGACAATAAAGGCTCTGAATGAAGGATGTCATGATATGATATAATTGCTTGAACCTAATACTACACTACCTTGCGATCGCGAGGAAAGGTAAAAGACCCCCTCCCCCGCCTTGTCAGGTACCCGGTACGAACCGGTACAAGCAACGCTTTGTGGCACTCTGTATATGGGGCCGCCAGAGATCATCAGCGACCTGACGCACGAGTTATATACACACACTACTTACCCGTATCACCATTAACTGTGTCTACTGTGTCGACGACGCAAGCGCATCTCAAAATAGCATACTACACATGTACATAGAGTTGTATGTAGGTAGTGTTGCGGGTTATCTCTTGAACCCCGCGCCGGAAGTCCTTTCCGGACCCGGTGGGGGATTTGCAGTTGTAGGTACTGTAGATTCGCCTGAGCGAGTTTCTTGTATGGAGATGAGTTGGTGTCCAGTGTGTGTGTGTGTGTGTGTGTGTGTGTGTGTGTGTGTGTGTGTGTGTGTGTGTGTGTGTGTCTCAAGGAGGTGATGGGTCTCCTCCAGTTCGGGAGGATCTGGTAAGTAGAAGATGGGTCACGAGGACGTCAACTTATCAGAATTCAAGTCCGGAATTTGAAAGTGGAGAGTTGACGACTTACACGTAGTGGTGGCAGGGAAATTCAAGGAATATTTACCGTAAGGAAAAGTAAGGAAAACGAAGGAAAGAAACGCGTTCCTTTTTTCACACGTAATCGTGCACGTGCCCATGCCCCACATAAATCCCATATTTTGGGTCGTACATATGCCATATGCTGGCTGGTCTGTGTGAGCGAACGATAATTTTGGCTTAGCTTTAAAAAAAAAAAGAAGTATTATAAAAGGATTACAAAAGTTTCAAAGGATTATATACACCTAAATTATATAGGTTGGTTCTATACGGGTATTAAGAAGGTGGTTGGGTGAGGGTAGATGTGGGTGTGTGTGCACGGATCAATTACACTAGCGTAAATTTCTGAATTTCCATTTTTCAGAAATAAACCATCACTACTTGCACGGCCCCTCCAGCCAATCAAGATGCAGATTGAAGTGGAGGGGGTCACTCAACGCGTTCCACGACATCACCGCACGGGTCGCCCGTGCAGTTTGTTGCATCTCCGTGCTGGCGTCCTTGAGGATCGATCAAGGGTCCCTGCAGGGTCGAACGTACTAGAATCAGCAGATCAATGGGCCGATTTAGGAATGGTCTACATATTGCGTCTCATCTATCCACATGGAAGGTCTAGATGGAGGAGTGATGATCGTGGGGAGGGAGTTGTGTGTAGTGTAGGTGAAGCTCAGATGCATATCGGGATTGGTGTGTGAACTTGGCTGGGCTTCCTTTGTTTATGCTCGGGAATTTACTCGCTGTCTGGCTTGCTTCGGGTGGAGGTGGGGTCGAGGAAGCAACCATGGTACGGGATACCTTACCCGTTGAGATAAAGAGGGCTTTGATGGTGAGAAGCAGGGAAATAAAAAGAATAAGAAGCGGCCTGCATGTCACACAAATGGGCGGCTCCGTCCTTCTTCCACCTGATTTATCTTTCTGAGCGATAAAAGAGTTCATGATTCAGAGTGGTGGGTGGCCGGCTTGGTTGGATAAGCAAACACAACTCTCACATCGACGTCAGTGTTGGTTTATCTTACTAGAATTTGTTCATCGCTTTCCGTCCCATCTTTTTTCTATCCGATCACCTCGACAATTTCACTTTATTTTCCGATCCGACCCACGGACCCAGGGGACCTGAACGGCTGCTCTTTCCCCAGAATATTGAGCCTCTGGACTATTGGGTATAATAGTATGACGAGACCACCCACAGTGCCTTTACATTAGTGCTAGACACATAACACGACTTACGAGTACTACGTATCTTACGATTCGACGAACGAACGGAGTACATTTACATCAAGTTAGCATCATAATCGTCGAGAATAGTATTTACCCCACAAGGGCTTTGACAACACAAAGCAACGGCACACGCATACCTTTATAACTCCCAAAATGGCTGCTCCTCCAACCCAGGGCTTCGACACATCCGTGAGTCCCCTACCCCTCCCCCCTTTTCAATCTTATCCCCTTTCCACCCCATCCACATTCATGATCATCTACTAAATAACCCAACCAGTCCCTCTCCGAAAAGGACCTACGCGTCTTCCGCCTCTATGGTCGTCTTCCCTCTAACCTCGCATCCAAACCTCCCTCCACACCAGCCCCCTCCTCCACTTCAACAACCCCCTACACCACCCCTACAAACTCCGGCTCCTCTCTCCAACCGGCAACCATAACAAGCACTGGTCCCAACGCGACCACCAACGCAGTGACCACCCGCTTCGCGCGTCATCTCAGAGAGCGCAAGTACTTTGACTCGGGCGACTACGCTTTGTGCAAAGCCGGGCGCGGGAATTCGGTGGATGTTGGCATGACTGGGTCTGCGCACCCGGCGCCGGAAGAGATTCCGCATCCCGTTCCGTTGTCGATCATGCAAAGGAGGAGGGGGTCGAGTTTTTGCGGTGGGGTTAGTGGGACCTTTCATTTGGGGACACGAGAGGGGGAGGGGGAGGACGATGGAGGAGGGTTGGCGGATTCACCTGGCTTGGGGGGGTGGGGGAGGTATAGGAGGTCGAGTCTGAGTGTGGAGGTTGTGGATGCTGATGGGGGATATGAGGTTGGGGGGGTGGATGGGAGGAAATGAAATGATCATGGGGTGTTGTGGGTGGAGGTAGTTGGGTTCCTGGATGCGTTGAGGGATCTTTCATTTCTTGATGACGGCGGCTGTTGAGGTTGTGGCATTATGGCCGGGAGAAATTGTTCTGGGCCGGGGCTTCCAGATCGTCGTTTGTGTGGGATGTTTTGTGGTCTTTGGTCATTTCATTTGCATCGTCGGGTTTGTAGGCGACACATTGTGAAAATCATTTGTGGCTTCTTGAATGCGCTCATCGTGTATTCATATCCAAGTTGTGGTTGATGAACGTATTCGCACCGCATAACTGGAAAATTGTCAGTTCCGAATGACTATTCATACCCAGTCCAACATTTTGTTGATTTTGTGCAAAGTGCAAGTTCTCGCTCTCACCTTACGTGTATCGGCAGCCATCAGTATACTCTACTTAGCCGGGCACGTACCTTACTGTCGGCACCTTCCTGAGACACATATCACTCGCTCTGTTAACTGCGGGAGTCGTCGCCAACCCTATCTTCAAAGTTCGTGTAAAATTCTATGTCTTGAGGTGTTGTCATTTGATCTTATTACCTTCTCCTGCTTTCTCTTGGCTGCCAGCTGCTATGTGTGCCAGACCTCGGCGAGGTTTGAACCCGACCTTCTTTCGCCCACTCTCAGCTTCAGTCTGTATGTAAATAGCCCTGGAATGCCAGTCAATGGTCTAGGAATCCATTCAACGCGAATCTCCTACAGCATGTTTCGGACGGTTGTTGGCTTGCCTTGTGGACACAATGCATCCGCAGCCCAAGTAGCAAGAAACTCACAGGTTGTTGGTGAAGACAACCCATCGAAGAAACTTGATCCATGGGCGTCTCAAACATCTCCTGCATGTCAGTGGGCTGCGTTTTCGAGTGAAGGCGAGTACGCATCAAATTTCGATACTGCAATCAGTATGGCTGAAATCATACTGCAAGGCCATAGGACTGCATAATGAGGGATGTCGCGTACGTATGTAAGAAACACTGCATGAGCGGGAGTGAACAGTCTTTCATGATCGTTATGGGAGAACGACTTAAAAGCCCACCAGTTCGGCGATGGCAAGGGTTGACAGAATGGTAAAATAGTAGTTGTGGACAATGACCTGGGAACTTTTGGGTATGACACAGTTGAGACAAGTCTTTGGACTACAGTTCCTCTTCCGATCAGCCCGTTTTCCACTTTACAAAGACTACCACTGAGTCAACATCTTCAATGAGATTCAACCAACTGATCCCACGGATCCCATGGCCAATGATGCATCGAGCATATGAGAATATAACCATGAATTAAGCTGGGAGGGTAGTTAAGGACGACATGTCTAATACAGTCATTCACTAATTTCCCGAGGAATATACCTTTCGGTTCCTTTACACCCTCTTTATTCCACTTATATGCAAACCCTATTTCACAAAAACTTCACACAGAACTAAGTCATAACTACTAGTCAGCAAAAGCATGTACTTCTTGTTGTTGGAGCATAACCAAAACAACACCGTCTAAAACTTGCCCCTAGAGACCTTGCAGCGGTATGGATATATCACATACGCAAAACCCAGCACCAAGAAGAAGAAAAAAACCCTTTTCAACCTCATATAACAACAAACGCCCGCCATTCATCCATCTAACACATCATCACTCAATATCTCACTATTCAAAGACGGGCAAATCAACCGGTTAAACCGTCACAACCAAGTCCTCCACATTCCACAACCCGGCACACAAGCAAGGATCAACATTGACACCAACGCCATTTATCTTGCACCACGTTTGTTTGCTCCTCTAAGCCTCAACTCCGGCGGCCCCCCAAAGAAAAAAAGAAAAAAAAAGAACCCATAACAAAACCTTATCCCCACACAAAAGAAACCCCCTAACTCAAACAATCACCATCCCCATAACCCCCAAAGAATCCCACATGGCCTTCCCCGGCTCACTATGCAACGAATCAACCCAAGGAAACCGCAACAAACACTCCTTGACGCCCCCCGATCCCGATCCCTCCCAGTCCAAGATCCCCATGACCCCCCACGCCAACTCCTGCACCTTGGGCGCCAACCACTTTTGTTCTTCTGGCCCCGCTAGCACCGAGATGCCGCCTATGTGGAGGAGCCAGAGGAGGGTTTGGTTTTCGACATTATCTGCAGGAGAAGAAGATGATGATGATGATGATGATGAGCAGTAATCCCACTCGGATATCAACTTGGTCATGCAGTCTTTTACCAATTCGTAGCGCAAGAAGCGACGACGGCCGAATTGCAGGAAGAGCGTGGTGGTCAAAGCGATCAGACCAAGGTGGATGGCTGATTCTATACGGGATTTTTGCGTTGTTGTTGTTGTTGCTGTTGATGGTGGTGGTGGTCGTTTTCCTTTCTTGGGGTTTTGGGTTTGGTAATAAGATAGTGGCCGAAAGCGAATTAACCGACACCCCACCGACACGAGAAACTCTTGGAGGGTGTGTGGCTCGAACCGAAAGTTGAGGAACGGGGAGTTGAGGAGGGTGGTGATGGACAGGACGTCGGAGAGGATTTGCGAGAGGAAGGGATGGATTTGGATCTGTTGTTGGACGCTGCAGAGGCTACCGGGACCCGACAGGGATGATGACGATGATGGTGGTGAGAGGGGAGAGAAGAAGGAGAAAAGTGGGGAGGGAGGGGAAGAAAGGATGAAGCCTTCTGAAAGTAGACGGGCGCGGATGGAAGACATGCGGTCCCGGTAGAACGGGGCGGGGATGGGGGTGCCGCGGTGGAGGGCATAGTCTACTGCTGTTCTGTAAGGTGGGAGAGGAGATGTTAGTGGTCTTGTTGTTGTTGGGTGGTTAAGCAAGATGACGAAGGATTGGGAGGGAGAGGATGAAGGATGAGAGGATCAACAGGATTCATGCCAGACCGGCGACTTACTTGCTTATTTTGATACCTAGAGGATTGTCCTCCCCCAGCGAGTTCAACCCACCACGTAGCTCTAGCATTCTTTGGAGACCCTTTAAATGGACTTCGGCCTTGGACTTGAATGAGTCTCTTAACAGCTCTTGGATGACAAGAAAGTTGACAACGGCGAGGTTGGACTCGGACAAGGCGCCGTTAGTCTCCAGAGTCTGGTTGACCATGTGGATGGCCTGGCTCAGATGGTAGATGGCGTCTGGTGTCAGGGCTTGATCACCGAAGAAAAAGTCACTGAGGGCAGCCATTAGGGCTATGGCACAATGGAAAGCTAGCGGGGAACACTTAGTTAGGGTTCTCACTCGTATTGCTGAAAGGAGGGGAGAGTGATGAGCTGGAGTGAAGAGAGGCTTGGCTTACAGGTCCTGTCCTGGAAGAGAGTGCCAATCCAATAATCATAAGCCTTCGCAGCACCTCGGACCAGTTGGGGAGGATATAGTGCATCAATGACAATGCCAAAGACTAGATAGGGGTAAGTGTTAGTAAGTGTGGGACATGGTGAAGGGATACACTAACAGGACGTACATTGGCTGATGACATATTGACTTTGTGGGGTTGCCTGAACGGGGAAGGCAAGGGTGAATAGGCTGTCTCGTGCTCCCAGTGTTGGGCTGAGCGCTTTCTGGGTGTGTGCTTGGAGAATAAGCGACGACTGTTGTACTTGCTGCCCTTGGAACGACATGTCCACCGGCGGAGAGGTGAGGGTATCCACAATGTAACCATCAAGATCGTGATTCTCGATGTCGGCCAACCAGTCAAGGTTGTCCAGATCGTCGAGGAAGAGGAAATCGGTGCTGGTAAGATCGGTGACACTCGAAGCTGGAGTGGTGATGTAGCTACAGCTACTGCTTCCCGTGGAGCTTGAGCCGTCACTAGGACTAGGGGTTTCCTCTGGACTCTTGCTCCTACTCTTGGTGCTACTCGGTCTGCCAGTGCTGGTGCTGGCGCTGGTGGGTTGCTGTCCCTGCTGGGGGAGAAGGTTACAGGCAGTGGATGTGCATGCTTTCTTGGACGGCCGGGGTGCATGTAGATCTAACTCAAGCCTTGATCGACGGTGAAGCACCTTGCCGACATTCTTGCCCTTCATGGCGTGACTTCGAACCAGTCTCCTGGTGACCCTATCGGTCTTGGTCGAGTCTATGAACTGGAACCCCTTGCCCATTGTGAAATGTGTTTTGTATGAGTGAAGGTTGCTCAACGGTCAGGATCGTCAATATCAGAGAGGAATCGTAGGATTCAGAAGAAGAAAAAAAGGTGAGGTTGAAGGAGTAAGATGAATCAGAATGATAAGGGGATTCTGCAGTCCGTTACATTGATGGCGCGCAGAAGAGGGTGTAATGTATGCGAGTGTACGGATTCCAGAACATGTAAATGTGCAGACAGAAGGATGGTTCACCGGCCTCGTCGGAAAGGAAACCGATATGTCTTGTCTTGAGACAAAGGAGAGCGAGCCCTCCCAGCTGGGTACCAAGAAGCGGGCAGAGCAGTGTGGTAGGGACTTGTGGCTTCGCTTCTTCAGCCTTGGGCTGGTGCGAGGACCTTTTGCAAGCTTTCAGCCATGGGAAACTGACTGACAAATCTCCCGTTAACAAGTGCCGGGCATAGGAGATGAACGTGTGACTTTGGCCAATGGCACAGAGCGGCACGACACTGTGGCTGTCTTTGAATCACCTTGTTCTCCTGATTGATGAATACTCGGTAGGGATATGCACTTAAACAGCTGGGCCTACCCCAAGCTCCACCGCATTTAGGGATGCGTTAGGCAGCTCCACAGCAAAAGTTCCACACTTTGTACCTTAAATTGCAACCGGCCAATCAAGTATGATGTACATGGACTCCCTGTCCGTCCCTCATCAGAGTTCTGACGACGACGACGAGATCCCGCGCGCTCCCGGACACCGCAGTGGACATTCCGAACAGGTACGTACGAGCAATTCACCGCTGATGACAAAGGCATCCGCGGGGTTGGATCAGCCCTTCAAGGCTTCGAAGATTGTTAGGTAAGCGAGGGTAAGGTAACAGTCAAGACCAACCTACATTCATTCGCTCGGAGCGGCCGCCAATGGCGCGACTGTCACTCCGTCACTCCGTCGCTCTGGAATTCATGACGAACCCGAGCATTTGACCAATCACAGAACAGTTTCCCGATTCGGACAAAGCTCTCAATGGGCTTCCAAAACGAAAGCAGCACAGCGATAGCTGACGACTAAACTGACGATATTTCACATAGTGGCAAAGCTTCTTCCAACTACTTAGAACACTTCAACTATTATCAAGCTTTTTTGTTTGTTTCTCCATCCCGAGAGATTGGTAACCAACGGACCCAAGGCTGGACTCAACATACGCGCGTTATCTCCAGTCGCCATGGACCAAGTGGTCCCTTCCGCTTCTTTTGAGGCCTGCATGCTGCAGAATCCGCCAGGAGCACATGAGGAATCCTATGCTGCAATAGAAACCAAACAACACACGTCCGAATTCGGTATCAAGTCTGACACTGGGTTTGTAAAGTTCCGTCTACCTTGATCCCTCAAATTTCATGACCACAAGTCCTCCACGCCGCAGATATAAATCAGGCCACCCCAAGAGACACAAGGACTTCTTATCCCCATCCTCATCTCACTCATCATCAGCATCAGTATCACAAGACTTCACTCGACTTCATCAGCTCAACCTACTTCGACCTCAAAGCCCACTTTGACTCTCAGGAGCATTACTTGTCCTCACAAACAACCAACATCGCAACCATGCCTCAGCTCGTCGGAAAGCAAGTTGGTCCCACTGGCTACGGCCTCATGGGTACGTGACCCCACCTTTACAGTCCCTGCCGAGATAATCAAGTCAAACTAACGCACCCCCAGGCTTCTGCACCAAGAACCCTCCCACCCCCAAAGAGCAAGCCTTCAAGGCCATGCGCGCCGCCCTTGAGTCCGGCGCCAACTTCTGGAACGCCGGTGAATTCTACGGCTCGCCTGACTGGAACACGCAAAAGCTTCTGGCTGCCTACTTCAAGCAGTACCCCGAAGACGCCGAGAAGGTTGTCCTCTCCGTCAAGGGCGCCTTTCTCTTCCCGCAGATGATCCCCGACTGCTCGCCTGCGGGACTCAAGCGCTCCATCGACGCCTGTCTCGCCGACCTGGACGGCACCCACAAGATCGACATCTTTGAGCCCGCCCGCATCGACCCCAAGGTGCCGCTCGAGGAGACGCTCAAGTACCTCGAGGACGAGTACGTCAGCAAGGGCATCATTGGCGGCATTGGTCTCTCCGAGGTTTCGGCCGCGACGATCCGCAAGGCAGTCAAGATCACCAAGATCGCTGCGGTGGAAGTTGAGATCTCCCTTTGGGCGACGCACACGCTTGAGAACGGCGTGGCCGAGGCTTGCGCCGAGTTTGGCATCCCGTTGATTGCTTACTCGCCCATCGGCCAGGGCATGCTCACAGGTCAGATCAAGACGCTTGACGATCTGGCCGCGGACGACTTCCGGAGGCATTATCCTCGCTTCTACCCGGAGAACTTCCACTTGAACATCCAGCTCGTTAGCGAGCTGAACGAGTTGGCCAACAAGAAGGGATACACGCCCGCGCAGCTGGCCATCAACTGGGTCAAGTCACTGAGCAAGAAGCCTGGTTACCCGACGGTTATCCCGATCCCTGGTGCGACTACCGCGGAGAGGGTCAAGGAGAATAACGTCGATATCGAGTTGACTAGCGAAGACTTGAAGAAGATTGATGAGACGTTGAAAAAGTTTGAGATTGCCGGGAGGAGGTACCCTGATGCTGTTCCTATTGACGGCTGAGTGGTGTCTGGTTTCTTCCTTGACTACCTTGGCATACATAGACTCGACAGGTTTCTCTGTCTTCATCACTTGTTCAGGGAATTACAATGGCGAATGAAAATACACGAGAAAGCCAGCAGTGGGAGTGTGGGATTAGACATTACTTAGGTACCTACTCAATTCAGTCCGCTCCGTCTTTGTGTGAGCATCCTAAATGAATTGCAATGTCTCACTACGAGGACTCTTGTCCTTCTATGGAAATCATGTTTTCCCCACCGCCCAACTCTGGGAGACAAGGGCGATGCTTTGTGGTTTCGATTTTAGATCGTCCTTTGATCATTGGCACGATCAAATGACTGAATAAGGGGGATTGAAGATCACTGACACCTACCTACTGTCGCTCTTTTTCAATTCCCGATTTCCTGTCCATCGCTGCTTAGATACCTTTCGACTGCCCATCCAGGGAAGGAACAACTGCTGACAGAAACATAACTCATTGTGTGGATGATATTAAACACGGGATAGTGCGACTACTTCCCTTCACTATATTTATTACCTAGGTATACAGCTCCTCCTTCCTTGGTTCGAAGCATTGCAAACCCGCCGTTTCTTGGTAGTGGATGGTTGGTACGGGGGGTTTATGCTCACCCAAGCGAGGTGGTAGGTGGCACAGCCCCTGGTTAGACTCTTCCGGATGCACGACATGACACGGCACCACGCCGATTGGCTTCACAGATAGGTAGGATGATGATATCTCCTACCAAAACAGTTCTTCCTGGAATCAAGCCAGCTACTTTGACGTCTAAGCTACCTCAACGCTATACTCCAGAGCCAGAGATTCCTTGGAGAGTAGTCAAGCCTCAAATAACCATATCCCACAGCGCCATGGTGGAGAGAGTTGGCCATCAACGTCATTACACGGTATAGTATCATCAACCATCTATCGATACCGATGATATTTTGCTCGGTCGATAACCAAGGCCTGGATCTTATCAACCTTGTCACTGTAGATTTTTGAAGGACGCATCTTCTTTGAAAGTGAGACGGGTTTAACTGAAAGTGGTCATCACACGCCGACTTTTTTCTCGTTGAATCTTTTCAAGAACGGCCGCTAACCGTTTTCCGAAGACTCAGGAGTTTCATTGCACTATTCAACGTAGTCAAGTCCAGATATAGAAGGAAGGTGAATTAGAAATCGTTGAAGTATTGTGAGGGTGCGTGATCCGAATCACCCCTTTACATTTGACAATCAGGGTTTGGATTGCGAGGAACCGAACTCCATGCATATGTCAAAACCCCGCTGGTGTCGTCGATCAACACCAAATCTAGCACTGGTAGTGACTGGGTTTTATCACTTCTAGTGTGAAGTTCGCCTTCTTCTCCAAGTCCTAGGCCGCTTTGAGTGCGGTGAGGTGATCGAGATGGCATCAGCTAAACAAGGTGATCATATCATTCCTTCGGTGTAGGAAGAACTAACAACAAGTCAAACTTCAAAGGGAATAGTGTATTAGTAGAGTTTCATGAAGCTTGGCTGAAGCCATTCGTGTAGGTTTGGAAACTGGGAAGTGGAACACTTGCGTGCTAACAGGTGGGATGATCGGGAATGTTTTCCTCGCTGTCGTTTCTGCAAAAGGTCCGACGCGACGACTTCCTTAGATTCGCCGTCCTTACCCCGATATATCAATAACATATGCCCACGCGAGACCACCAACCTACGAGATCATCCTAGGCCATGTCTCGAGATATCAGATCATCAGCCAGCCATGATGGGGCACATATCCTTCAGCTTCGTTTTGGCCGATAGGCGTTTCGGGTTTTGCATCCTTCAGCTCACATCGTCAATGTCACCCTCGCCCTCAAAATCCCACCGTTCAGCTGGTTACTTGTCAGCCTCAACGCTCTTTTAGATTTCCAATAGAATGCATCTGTCCAGAACGGTTAGCGCTTCCGATGCCACTAGTTGGATCTATTGACATATGGGGATCTGGATTCAGTCCTCCGGGGCCACATCAACCACGCCTACAAGTAGTTCGCGGCAAACCCGCACCGCTTAGACCCAGTCATTCTCAAAGCGGTGGGCCGTAGGCAGCTTTGCGAGATGCATGATACGGTACTGAGGTTTTGGGTCTATGGAAATGCCCCGATTGCACTAACAAATAAGACTCGACGGACAGTGGGACCTAGTCTAGCGCCCAACCCTAAGGTAAGGTACCGATGTCGGTCACTACAACTAATATTGACTACCTACAGTATCGCCCCCTGATTTTGCATGTAATCCTGCACCAGAAAACTTATGCACTAAATGGCGGATATGCAGTTCCTGAAATAGCGCTAGGCTCAAATGGGCAATCGGTTAGTGGCCGAGATACTAAAATCCGACCCCGTACTATAAATTTCTCTACTCAAGACCGAATTTGTAAGTGCATACGCACCAAAAATTGTCCGAGATCAGTATGCAGTATGCAGTTATGCAGTTGTAGCTGGAAATTAATTCAGCCAGCAAAATCCTATGCACTAACTAGCGTATATGCAGTACCTGGAGGATGCAGTTGCAGGGGATTCTACTGTACTTCACTACACACCCACACAAACGATCACAGGCCTCCTTCTAGGTTCCTCCACCCCCATCAGGTCATCACCTCCCAAGTTGCTCAGGTCTGCGACACCTTGGCCTTCTTGTACGTAATCAACGAGTACACATGACCCTCTGAGTCCGTGTTCAGCGATTTGAACTCGAACACGTTGCCCGCCGGTAGGATGAGCTTCGTCTGGAGACTGCTCGCAAGCGCCGCCATGCTGGCCTCGAGGCTGCTCTCAAAGCCAGAAGCCCACTGATGGGCTGGCTTTGCGAACCCATCCATGCCCTTCGGCGTGCCGAACTCTTTGAACATCTCGTGGTTGGACAGCTCGACAATGACGCCATCTTCCTTGCTGCGTTCATTCAAGTTCCTCATCTTCTCAACACCACCGATGTTCTCAAAGGTGCTATACGTCTCTGGGCCAATCGTCTGTCGCGGCAACTCCTCGTCGCCCAAAGGGATTGTTGTGCGTGGTTTGTCCTTGATGAGGTTGAGCTTCCAGGTGTCGCCAGCAGGGTGCATGTCAAATCCGGCACGGGTGGTGATCTGAACGTCGGCACGCCGCGCGTCGCGCCATTCGGAGAAGACGCGCTCGAAGTAATCGCGATCATTCAGGATATCGACGATAATAGTTGGCGGCAGAGCAACCCATTTGAGGAGTCGTTTTTCTGCCATCCATGGGTAAGCCAGAGTCCTGCGCGTTCAAAGAAGCAAAACTACTCACTGTCCTCAGCAAGGCGGTTGATATTGCAGATGCCAGATGCCTGCTGTGTTATGGACACCAGCGATTTCAATTCAATATCAAACTTCAACCTGCGTTGTTGATCCGACGCTTTATCGATGGCAGGGTTCTGCTGCACGTCACTAGTGTACGTTAAGATGGCCTCGGCAACTCCTGTCAAATTGTCAGCATATTGGGAAGAGAGCTAATTCAAAGGACAGGTGCCTCGCCGTTGGCCAGCCGCCTCTGGTTGTACTTCAGCTCCATCCCCGGAATCGCCTTTGAAGCCTGCAAAACCACCTTGAGGAAAGTGCTCAGCTCTTCGGTCTGAATCATACGGTCCACGTCCATTTCATGGCACCGCATTTCGTTGAACGCAAATTCCTGTTTCAGGGTAAGCTTCGTGGTACCATCGACGCTGATGGTCTCATCATTCTTCCAGAGACCTCGACCCCATGTCTCTCTCGCCACATTGTCGCCTTCCGGAATCAAAATCTCAGCAAGCTCGGTCGTGTTGACCTTGAAATACTTCAGAAACTGCTCCTTCAGCCAGAAGTCACGAAAGATGCCCCGAGAAAAGGCCATAACGCCATCTGCACCACTCGACATGCCATCGGCTCGGACGCGCTTGAAAGGCGTGTTTCCATTCTGCCAAAATCCCGCGCCGGGATCCTCCTTAATGCTGATGTTGCTCTCCGAGACACCGCTGGGTCTGCGAGTGAGGATACAGTAGTTGATGACGCCCTTTGAGTAGTCGCCATCCCCTTTCGTCACCGAAAGATCGAACCGTTTCGGGACCAGGTAGGGGACGTTCTCTGCCCTGGCCTTCTGCTCGGCCGTCTGAGCCGCAAGCTCCTGGGTGAGGCCGTATCCGAGGACGAAGGGATTATTGGGCGTCGACGCGATCTGGGATCTCTCAGTCAACGCCTGAAAGTAGGAAGACAGCAAGTTAGCAGCTTCATTTGAGGCTGCGGTCTGCGTTTTGTTGACGCCCTTGAAGTCAATGAACTTGAAGCTGTTGACGACTTTGGTGCTTTGGAAGAGACAGAAGAGGGCGGTAACTGTGTAGTTCTGCTCGCTGACTTCCTGGAACTTGTCGAGTACAGGCTGGGCAACAAGGGTGTGACTCTCGCGCTTTTTCGACAAGGCCACAATGTCTATCTGGACGGTTCAGTACGCCATTGGTTTTCTTGTTTCCGACTGGAACTTACTTTGCATCACGTTTCCGACCTCCTTGTGAGATAGATCGGTAAGCCAGCTCAGGGTGCTGCCACCAAGATCGGCCTTGACCTGGTGGCCATTGATTGAGTAGTGGAGCTTTCCGGACTTGAATCTCAAGTTGACTCGCACGCAACGATAGTTCCCCTCCTCCTCGCCAAAAGTGACAAAGGGCGCATCGATCTCGCCTTCAATCCACTTGTCGCTTTCGAGAAAGAACAGGCCATCGTTAGGACGCACTTCGGGCCGAATGTCCTCAAAGCCCGGCGTATCCCACTCGATCAATGTCTGGGGATTGATCTTGACTTGGTGGTTGATGTAGTGCTTGGCCGCTGGAAGTGTCTCAAAGCCCTCAAGGTCCTCAGGGTCAGGCATCAAGGCGCTTGGAATTTCTCTGTCGTAAAGTTCCTGGAACTGCTTGTTGATGGCATCCTGAGACACAGTGATTACCATGTCATATCCCTTAAGGGTGTCAGGGTCCGAACTGCGTGGTGCCATGTTGGATCTGGTGGGCAGCAGACGAAAAGTTGGATTGTCAAGTTGGGTTGTGGTGAAGGGTGCTTGAAAGAACTGAGAAGGGATGCTGAATGAAGAAGCGGATAACTGAAGACTGGCACCCTTTAATAAGCACGACAGGACTTGGAGATCTGCTCTTAAGTCGACCTATGTCAAAATGTGTTGGCGGGAGCTGGGAGGGAGCGATTCGAAGGCCGGCCGTTGGCCTCCTCAGCTCTTCTCAGAAGCCCATGGGAGCCGCACTTGGAATCACAGCACTAGCCGTGACTGTGGCGCAGTATGTGGGAATATTGCTGCTGAAGCACAAAAAAGCATTAGCGCAGCGTGATGTAAATCACCAGTAACGGGATGAGACCAATGCCGAAGATTTGCTTGCATCTGATGATCTAGAACATCTTTATGGGGCTGACGACGAAAAAGGGAACTAGATCCGATAGTGCATGGGGCCTCTTGGCGAGACCGATCCCCTTCTGCACTTCAGCTTCGTGCTAGTCATTCAGCTCATGCATTATCTGTCAGTTGACGAGGTGACACGTCTCGAACACGACGTTCAGACACCGATATGGTTTAACAATACTTGAAGGATTGGAGATTTGGCCTATTCCATGATCGTTGCATGGCTTTCCAGCCTCATCCGCATGTCTTAGACAGCCCGACGAGAGACGGGGGCGTCGCCGTTTCGGCTGGAGTCTAGATCAGTCCAGAACAACGAAGCAACGGCGGAATCAAAGCACACATAGTGAAGCCCGTGATGGGGAACGGCGTCAAAGTACCCTTCTTGTCTGCTGCCAGAATGGATGCGAGTTTGGTCATACGGACCGCCCGGTGATTGCAGCAATCGATGCGGGGATTGCCCAACTGGGTATTGATATTCTGCTGTGGGCGAGCTGGAGTCAATAGACCGACCTTTTTGTTTTCGTCGGCTGCGCTGAAAGGCCTTGATGGTTCGAGCTGGATGGTTCAATAGAGTGACAATAGTTTGTCATGGCTGAGCTGACAGAATCTGAGGGTATGAGCAGCGTTTATTCGTCAACATCCGAAGCTTAGCAGCGGTCTCGCCTCCTTACGCCCTTCTTCGGTTCTTTTGTCCTCCAGCATGCTACCTTTACGTCCCTGAGGGAAGATGGGAGGCAAGATGCCCAGCTGCGCGTCCTGGGGTGTGAGATCCGGCACCAGCCAGTATGGAATCGAGAGGGCCGGCTCTCTGAGAATCTGACACGAGATAGATATATAGAGCCGCTCTCCTCCCTATTCCCAGGAACTCCTCATCATTTCATTCTCATATCCTACACTGTTTCGAGATTTGAGCACTCAACATGGCACCCATGAAACAAACCCAACTGGCTGAGCCCACTATCCTCCAAACTCACGTGCCGTTTCCGGTTATCGACATCGAGACCTTGGATGGAGACAGCGTTGTCCTCGGAAAACACGAGACAGACACCATTGTCGTTGAGTCGGCATCGGAGCTGGTCACTTCCAGTATTACGACGTCTCTGTTCCGGACCCAGAAGGGAGACAACAGTTCGTTGAACATTGTTCACGATGCCAACGGGCGGCCCATGGTGTTTTCTGTTGGATCGGACGGCGTAAGTAACTTAACCGGCCTTGATACTTTTCCCTAGTCCTCCTAGAATTCACTTTCTGACTGAACGGCAGCGCCTATATTGTATCTTTCACGTCTAGAAAGCATCTCACCCATGGCAGTTACTGGACATCACTCCGGTCGCCGAGAACGCCTCTGTTTCTGTCACGGCCTTTGACGTGCTTGAAATCAAGCAGGATCTTCACTTTTCAGCATCTGTCAGATACACGCCAGGGGGATCCGAGGAAACACACCAAGTCTTCTGGGCGAGCATCAAGCAACCGAATGCCCAAATTACCGACGGACAGTTGGCGGGTTTTACGGCCTCAGATCTCAAGTGGAAGCCCATCCAGAACAACCTGGGGCCTCGCGTCATTACCAAACTGGTCAACGTTGTTAACCCAGATGCTGTGCCTGGATCGCCCGCTTTCACCATCTTCGCGGCAACAAGGACTACAGAGACACACTTGGCCTCGACCTATGCTATCAATCCCAGCCAGTCAGCTTCTGCGCCATGGACGATTATCTCCTTTGGCGCCCAGTCCTACTCCATCGTCGACATGCAACCTGTCATTGTTGGGAGTGCCTCCAAGGGAGCCAAGAAGCGCGCCGGACTCACCTTACTGCACGATGCCCCAAGCCAAAAGGCCGACGTTGAGCGCCGGTGCCACGTTCTGACGCTCAATGATGCACGCAATGAAGCCTTTGGCCTGATCCCGCTCAACACTGAGAAAATCAGCAGCCCGTCAGCCATATGGACCTCTTTCAACTCCTGGGGGTAAGTGATATCCCCCTTTTCCTCGTTTAGAAAATAGGTACACTGACACTCCCAGGTCCCACGACGTCCTGGTTGCGGGCAATGGAATTGCCTTCCATCAGTTCCAGAATCTCAACGACCCCTGCCTCGACAGCAAGGGCGATGTCATCCTCCCGCACATTACCTTCCGCCAGGTTACTTGCAAGGAGACGATGCTTGCTAACCCACGCCGGTACATCCTCTCCATCCTAGCCGTCTCCGAGGACGATGAGCTTTACCTCATCGAGGGCGAGCGAGACGCGACAAACTTTGGTCTCCCCACGTTTAACTGCTCCGGCCTCCCTGTCCGGACCAATGTGGCCCAGATTGCTTGCCACTACAACAAGCAGATCGACGCCATCGAGTTCATCTATACTACCAAGCGGGACAACCAAATCTCTCATCTGGCTCGCGACAGCAAAACCGGTGTTTGGATATCCACCGATCTCCAGGTCCAAGGTCCCGGGACGTTAGCCAAGGAAAACCAGTATGTCACCACCATCACGCTTTTGAGTAAGGCGACCGGCGACCCCGTGCCTGAAGGGTATCCCGTATCGTTGAAGTCAGAGCCAGTGTTTGTCAAGATTAACGACCTGGCCTATCGTCTCAACCGGATGCGGCCCACGGTGGTCAAAACCAACGCCGCGGGCCAGATTGACATCGTCACCGCAGCGCCCGATCACCTTGGCATCTCCTCTCTCGAACTTAGCCTCGAAAGGTTCGTTGAGAGCACGCCCTTCAGCTGCTCCATCAACATGTCTTCGCGTGTCATGGAAATGATGTCGAGCATTCGCAGCAAGGAAGATATGATGTCTTTGACCTCCCGGACAACTGGGAAGCCTCTGTTTGCTGGTGTGTCGGAGGACCGCCTGGAGGCATCTGCGAGTTTGCTTTCCCAGTTTGATACGTTGCGTAGTGGAACGAGGGACAGTGGCCCGAATTACAATGTGGAGGACAATTCATCGTCCATTGGATCCGAAACAACGCTCGTCGAGTGGCACGGTGCTGCTGCTCAGACCAGCGAAAAAGGTGCTCATGTTCAAAGAGGGGAGCAATCGTGGATCGAAAAGGCTGTTGATGTCGCTGTCGAGTACATTGGTGATGCCCTCGAATTCCTGAAGACGGTTGTCAAGCAGACAGTCAAGTTCGTCGTCAAAGTTGGCGCCAAGGTTCTGCGCATTTACTTGAGGATCCAGGGCAAGGTTCTCAGCTTTGTCGTTAAACATACCGCCGCTCTCGTCCGGTCCGTGGTAGGTTTCCTTGACAATGTTCTCGATACCAATATGATGGAATTCTTCGGACTGGACTTCGGGAAGCACATCCCAGCTATTCAAAGCGTTAGTGACTCTTCATCATGATGCTCTGTGGAAAATAACTGACAACCGGTGCAGAAACTCAAAGATGTGGCTCTTGGATCGCTTACCGTCCTCGAGCGATTCCTCGCTATCAATCGCTCAAGCCTCGAAGACCTTTTCAATGACGCCGAGACATTGATCTTTGGTTCAGTTGAGAGGCTTCAAGAACCCCAGGCGCCCCGTCAAGAAACGACAATCGAGCGTTTCATCAAGAGAATCCTCAATTCGCCCATCGTCAAGCTCATCCTCAAGTTCAATCCTCTGTCGTGGATCCTCGAGGGAGTTAGCGAGGGCCTTTCCGAGTCTTTGCCTGATTTCAAACTTCCAGACATCACCTCCCTCGCCGAGGCTATTGGCATGACAGGCGACGCCCTTCTAGAAGTCTTCCTGACGGCCTTTGGTCAAATCATTGAAAACATCGCCACCAGCGGCACCGAGGCCTTGCTCAACCCCAAGCAAATGCTGGGCATCATCATCTCTGCCATCAAAAAGGCCTCCCGGACGCTGTTCCACGCCACACGGGATACGATTCTCATTGCAGTTGACTGCATCATCCGCGTGATCCACGTCATCCCTGGGCTCCTTACCGAGGCCTGGACAATCCCGGGCCTGACAGACGTCTGGGAGGACTGGACCGGGCAGGAGTTCTCGCTGATCAACTTTGCAACCTATGGCTCAGCCGTCCTGTTGGACCTCATGACCTTTGCGGTATTGGACCAGGTCAAGACATCCGCCTGTGCCCCCTTCCGCCCAGGATGGGCCGAAAGGATCGAGATGGAGCCCTTGTACACCAGCTTCCAAGACACGAGGAACCAAGCAGTGCTTGCGGCAAGATATCCCGGACCATCCAGGCCAGAGGATACTAATCCTATGGTTATGATGGTCATGGCAGATTATGGAAGCATCAGCCAAAAAGACGACGAAAAGCAAGGGGCAGCGCCGGAGACCGAGGAAACATCCAACAGTTCCTTCAATGACTGGATGAGCATCGTGGGTGGCCTCTTCAAGCTTGTCACGAACGGCCTCATCGTCTACCAAGCCGGAAGAGCCGAGGAGCCCATAGGACGCAAGATGGTCGCCTTCAAAACTGTTACTGCACTGGTTGCCTTGGGTAGCATGATTGGTGAGGGAAGCAGTTATATCACATCTTCGGTCGAAAAGGCCAACAAAGATCCCAAGGATATTGCCAACCTGGTAAGTGGAAATCTACCCTCTCTCTCTATCGCAACAGCCCTTTGCTAACCATGGGGACTCTGTAGGGCCAAAACCTCGGCATGAGTGCTGGCCTCTCCGTCGCTGTGGTCGGTGTCATGGTGGAGGCCTACATGGACATCACGAAGGCAGTCACCGATGCTCGGATTGCGAATATGGACTTACCTTTCGACGAGATGGATAAACAGAGACAGTACCAGGCTCAGAACAAAGTGGCGCATTGTGTTGGCGGGTGCGCATTGAATATTGGCGCTGCCGCCATGACGGGTTGCGTGCCCGGATGCTGGTCCAAGCCGCGCTGGGGTAACATTCTCCAGACGGGCGCGAGCGTCGGGGGCGCTGTAGCTGTTGTGGCAGCCAACTACTTTGATGAAACCCCGAAGGGCAAGGCTATCAAGTGGGGGATGCTAATTACTGATTCGAGCCTGACGGTAGCTAGCATGTACTCAGGTCTGTTGTTATTGATCCCTCTTTTTGACTTTTGGATGAGGTCCTTTTGCTGACACTGATGCCCTCTCTTTTAGGTTTCTCGAATATTGTCGCGCCGGCGGCGTCCAAATGAGGAGGGTGTTTTGGACTGGAAATGGATATGGTGTTATTGTACACAGCGGCTGGTTAGGTACGATGGTTCCAATGAGTGTGTCAAAGCGAGGAAATGGGTGGAATTGGTCAAGACAAAGGGTTACTTAATGCCAAAAAGAAAGGTTACAAATAAGTTGTCAACAGGTGTGCACAAATAGTGAGAGAAAAAACATACAGCACCTGGGATTCGCTGGTCGTCACCGTAAAGACTCAGCTCCGACATCTAGAGTGTAGCATTGTGATCGCGAAGCCTTCGTATTTAGATCCCGCGCCCCGTCCATGTGCAAAAGCAACGGTAGGTATCATCAAGTGGGTAGGTAGTAATCGAACGACTGTGCGTCAAGCTTCAAGAAGGTAAAGCATCATGATCAAATCGACCAAATTGGTAAATGCTCTCGGTGTTAAGTGGTGACACATGTGTCGTGATGCGGAGATCGTGTGTGTACGGCGTCGTCGCTTGTCATGTCTAGCTAGGTAGCTAAGCAGAGTAGGGCGGACTGTCGGTGGCTAGGTATGGTAGGTGGCGTTTTTCGATCGATTGGGTTCACGTGTGAAGTTTCTCATTAATGGAGTCGGATTGGGTTGCTTCACAGAGATCTGGTTTCAGGTTTACGATGAGTGTTGATGGAAGGGATTGGGGAAGTTGGCGGCGAAGCGCGGGAGCTCACCGAGGACGTTCCAGTCAGTGGGGTAAAATGGTGGGTACCTCTACCTTTATTAGTGGAGTCAAATGTTGGCGCTAAGATTTTTACGGAAGGAAGGGACGATATTGTAAGTGTTAGTGATTAACTGCTGTAGGCCGCTGAAACGTCGCTAAAGCTAAAGCACCTTTAACGGAAAGCGTTTGCCTAAGTTGAACAACGTTCTCGCTGGACTTTGAGAAACGTCCAGCGGGGTGCCGCGACATCCTTGAATCGACATCTACCACATCAACCACAAGGCATTACGATCTGCTCAATAGACAGAGAAGTGCATGAACTATCACGAAGGTGGAATAGAGGTCTTGTTTAGGGCAGGTCATGGATGGTTCACGACATATCCCAGCAAAACGGTTCGAGCGTGGAGGGTCGCCAATCTGTTTCGCTCCCACCATATGAAGATCTGCCTTCCCGTTGGTTGAGGGCGGGATGACTTATGACACCCTCACTGGACTGAAACTGTGGCTTTGCGAGGTTGAAACAATAACTCTAATCTATTCCAATGTCTAAAAGCCATGAATATATAAACGCCTATATCTATCAAGTCTATCACACCACCCAAACCAATCAGGAAACACAAAAGAAACAAATCAAGAGCAGCTGCAACCTCCGCATCTAGACTAGATCCTCGTCACCAAAAAAAGAAAAATCCATCATCTATGGAAATCCCGTACCTATCCATTCATTCTACTGCCCACGGCTCCTCGACTTGGCGCCAATCTGACGACCCTGAAAGTTCGACTCATGCGTAGACCTAGGGTTCATGTTTGGGATGATAGGGTTGTAGTAGCTGAACAGGTTATCCGGATCATACTGCGCCTTCAATCCGCGGAGCTTCTCCAGCCTCCAGGGCTCGTAACCGTACATGGACTCGGCCGACTCATCGCCATGGGCGTAGTTGACGTAGGTGCTAGGAAGAAGATCGGGCGCACCGGCGTTCCAGAGATCGCGGGTTTCTTGTGCCCATGCGATGGCGGCTTCGTCAAGAGCGGGGTTGGGGTCGTAGGTTACGGCGATGAAGCTTTGGACATGGTGTTAGTGTGACTCACTACCTAGTGATGAAAGGTGGAGAGGAGGATAAAAGGGGAAGGGATAAAGACGTACCTGAGAAGACCCCTATCGCGCCATGGATAAGCTGAAGTGTCAGGGTCAATAGCGTCGACACCCTCGTGCGAGTAGTCCTCCATGTTGACGGTCGTACGCTGGAATTCGGGGTACTCCCGGATCTTCTCGTTGTACAGGTCGTAGATCTGGCGCTGGGTAGTGACGTTCCAGACCTTCAAGCCTGCAGGGTAGTGGACGTGGTTCAAGCCGTAGTCACACAGCGTGCTGTTCATGCCGGTGCCAGACACGCCAGGGATCTCGGGGTAAGGGACGTTACCGTCTTCGGTGGAGACCGCCTTGATGGCGTCAAAAGCATCCAGGTACGGCTGCGCTTCTTCCTTGGAGCCGCGGTAGACAAAGGACCAAAAGATGACGCCTTCGGTCTCGCTGATGCTGGGGATCATGGTGTAGCTGCCCATGTTGAAGGCCATTTCTTTGAGGTGATGGCCGGCGTGGTTGCCGTCGTTGTGGAAAGCGTTGGATGCTTCGAATACGGCTTCCAGTTTATCTTGGGTCCAGATATAAGTCTTGTAGTACCAGGTGTCGACGCCGCGGGGGTAAATCTTCATCTCCAGGCTGGTGACGACGCCAAAGTTGTGTCCGGCGCCTTTCATGGCCCAAAAGAGATCAGGGTGCTCGGTCTCGGAGACGGTGATGGCGGTGCCATTGGCGAGAACGACGTTGAGCTTGAGGAAACTGTCACTGACGACGCCGTAGTAGCCTTCGAGACGGCCGCGGCCTCCGCCCAGAGCTGGACCGAGGAGGCCAACACAGGACGTGCTGCCGGATGCTAAGAGGGTTTAGCATTATGGATATAGAGAACCCAGACAGAAAGACTTACAGGTAACATAACCAGCATCCCACAGCTTTTCCATAATGTTCTTGGCAAACACGCCGCCGCCGAGGATAGCGCTCTTTCCGTCCGGCTGAATCTCAATCTTGTCAAGGAGGGACATGTCAATCTGCATACCGTCAAACTCTGACAAGGTACTTGTCATGCCGTGTCTCCGAGCCATGGCAAGGAAAGGGATACCATTGGCGCTAGCATATTGAACCTGGTTGAAGTCAGCCAAGTTCTTGTTACGAGTGACAAAAAGAGGGCTGGGGATGTACAATCTTGGGGACGTCGTCCTCCGTGGCGGGCTGGACCACCATCTGAATCTTTGGAGTGAAGAAGGGGTCATATCGAGCCGTGCAATTCCCGAACTGCGTATCATCGGGGCCGTAAACATTGCAATTTGCCGAGAGCTGGGGACCCAGCTCACTGGCAACTGTCCTACTTGCCAGCTTGTTGCGGGTGAAGTGACAGAGTCCATTGAGGCATGGCTCCGGGGAAGCAAAAGCGAGGGATTGCAGAAGAAGTGCTGAAGATACAGCGAAGCGTTGTAGACGAGTCATTTTGACTGCTTCTTGTCAGGCTGTCGTGTGATGAGATGATGAGGAGTTGATGTCGAACAGAACCCCTTAATCATGACACTTTCGATGGTTTATATGGATTCTCAACTGCGTGAAGAGGCCCTCATCTTTACTACTCAACTTCACTTTGACCTTTTCAATTCACCATGATTCAACTTTCAGTCACCATCATGATATTTTCCATCCAAACCACCCAATTTCCCGTCTTGGAGTGTCTGGAGGAGGAGGAGCATCTCAGAAGGTGTCAACTCCATGGCGCTTAACCAACCGCATCCTCGGGAATGCTTGACGGATTCTGTCCAGATGACAGGATAGCTTTGACGCCACTCCACCATGCGTATCTCTTTACGATCTCTTGATGTGGACGAGTGTATTTTGATGTTGACTGCGGAACAGAAACGGAAAGTGCTGGTCGAGGTTTGGGGGAATGAATCCTGATGAGTCATGCCAAGCTACCTGGCCGTCGTATCGTCGGGTGAGGCATAAGCAGATTCGCTTCTTTTCTAGAACGTATGTAGCCATTGCTCATATCGAATCTGGTGGAGTTGAAGAAGAGTTTTGTCGGGCAATGTTGTTAAAGGCTGAACTGGGCAAGTAGAGGTACGTTACACAGTCTGAAAAGGCCTAGTAGACTCCTAAAGTTGGGAGGACAGCTTATGGCGGCGGGCCGATGGGGAGCTGAGATGGTGGAGCTTCAGGGCTTATCGATACCTCTAGTGGTTGTATTAGGTGGGTTACACTGGCATCAGCCTGGCAAGCTGTGCCCTGAGCTGTGCCGCCGCAACACGTTCGACGACACAACACCTTTTCCTGTGTCTGGTAAAATCCACGATCCAAGCATGCCACAGACGAGCACAGTCACGGACAAACGCGACAAACGAGACGAATCATCATAGCTTCCTGACCACCACCAGTACGTTGGAACGATTCCCAAGCCGCGATGCCACGAGAGGCGTCGACGACAGCAGTGAATCTTGTCGCACGTGGCAGAGATCCAAACCCAGTCGATCCGGCCATGTTAACTCCATCTGGCATAATACCAATCATGGACATCGACACAAGCCTGAGATATGGGTTGCTGTCAGTGTCAGGGCCGCTGCACTGCGGCTAGATCGTACGACCAACTTCTGTTGCTCTGCCCTGCCAAGGCGACAAGAGTGTAGTTCCGAATCTTCCACACCAGAGATGACCCGAAGACCCGGTTTAGCTTGACACCAAATTGAGACTGGATGGTGCTGTGGGATGTCCAGCCCATCAACCTTAATGCTCCTTCAACTAGAGGTATCCACCCATTGGCCATCTGGAACCCCAGATGACACTCACGTTCGACGTGATTCACCATCAGCCCACACACAGTTCACACAAGAGTACGGCCGAGGTTTTGAGGCAGAGCGTACCTTTGTTTACTTTCAGCCAGATTAGGACAAAGGTCAGTAGGTTTGATAGCTTTAGCCTCTCTGTTACGTTTCCACGCTGACCGAAAACCATGGCGACTGGGGACGGAAAGAAGTTTCTTGGATGCTTTCTCATTCACACAACCTTCTCACCTATGAGATGTACGCTACCAAGAAAGCCAATGCCCCTCAAAGCATTCTCACTGGCGACTGTGTTCAGGTTGTGGTATCTGCAAGCAACTTGTTCCTGCATTGAGGCTGTTCTCTCTTGTCCAGTGTCAGCTCCCCTCTGCTCCATTCCGAGTTAGGCCGAGAAGGTGAGAGCCTCATCCACAAGCTATCTGTGCCTCTCATACACAATGGGTTAAGGGAGTTTCGGTTCGGGTGGTATCAATATCCACACTTGGGGCTCATGACCTGTTACACTGTCAATCTCATTATGGTTTGAGACTGTGGGCCAATGGACACTCAGTCATGGAACCACTCGGTGCCTCGTACCTGCGTTGAAACGCTTACGACAGATATCATGATGGAGTTTACCTCAAGCAGGTTAACCACCTTAGAATGGCATATGCCTCACAGACACACCAGGGTTGTCGTGATAGCTTCAACAACATCGACATTATGATTCATGTTGAAGAATCACCGTATGTGGCCAGGAGGGCATACACCTCTGCTCAGATGCTCGGTGTTTCCGTGATGCTCTCATCATCCACCCAATATGGGTGTTGAAGACGAAGAACACAATGGTGATCTCCATGTATAAAGGAAGACTTGTTTCTCCCATTCTCGACGACAATTCTCATCATCACTCACATCATCATCTCAGCATCCACTCATCCCTTCATCACTCAGACACCAAAGCATCAAAAGCCCCTTCAGCCTCTTTCCAGCAACCAGCCACCTAACAATCTTGAGCGACCTTCCTTGAAAACTCTACCAAAGACTTCAAGATGCATCTGTCTTCCTCCCTTCTCTTCACCTCGGCCCTTCTTGCCGGGGGTATCAATGCCTCTCCTGCGACCAACGCCTACCGCCGCCAGGGGGCGGACATGAGAACCATTATTGGTGACACTACCCCGGTACTGTCCAACACCACCGCGGTGCACTTCCCCGGTTCGGGAGACTTCTTCAGTGTCACGGAGCGTTGGGACGTCTACCGCCCGCCCTCGTACCAGGCCGCCATCACGCCCACCACCGAGGCTGATATCGTGTCCTTGGTTAAGATGGCTAAGCAGCACAACATCCCCTTCCTTGCTACTGGTGGCCGCCACGGCTATGGTACTTCCCTTGGCAAATGTCAGGAAGGTCTGGCCATCGACCTCAGCCACTTCAAGGATGTCAAGATTGACAAGCAACGTGAAACTGTAACCATCGGCCCCGGTGTCGTGTTCGCTGATGTCTTCCCGGTTGTTTCTGATGCTGGCTATCAAGTCCAGACTGGTACCTGCAGCTGCGTTGGCATGATTGGCGCCACCATTGGCGCCGGAATTGGCCGTCTTGACGGTGTTCACGGTCTAGTCATTGATGCTCTCGAGTCCGTCCGCATGGTCACTGCCAACGGCGACATTGTCGAGGCCTCCAAGACCAAGAACCCTGAACTCTTCTGGGGTATTCGTGGTGCCGGTGCCAACTTTGGCATCATTACCCAGGCTACCTACAAGATGCACAAGTCCATGGGTGACATCATCAGCTTCGATCTCATCTACGAGCCCGAGCAGAACGTCACTCTCTTCAACACCGTCGCCAACATGTACCTCCCGCCCAGCCTGACCGTCGAGACCATCATGTCCTACAACCAGACCACCGAGAAGCCCACCATTATCGTCAGCAGCACCTACGCCGGCGGCTCCGAGGCCGAGGCCCGCAGGTGGATGCAGCCGCTCCTTCGTTTGAACCCCTGGTACAAGGACATCAAGGCCATCCCTTGGAAGAGGATGAGCAAGGAAACTGCCCTGGGTTTGGACAAGGAGGTCTGCGCCAACTCTCAGGTCTTCGACATCTACGGTGTCAACCTCCGCCGTCACGACGCCAACACCTGGGTCAAGACCTTCAACAAGCTCGCCAAGTTCTGGAACGAGCAGCCCGCCGCACAATCCTCCGCCGTTGTCCTTGAGACCTGGCCCAACCAAGCCGTCGTCGCCGTGCCTGACTCCGAGACTGCCTACCCCTGGAGAGACGCTACCACCTATGTGTAAGTTGCCTTTACCCCATTCTTCTCAACTTTGACCACTCACTAACAAAATTCCTACCACAGCATGATCCAGATGCGCTGGGACGCCCCCGGTAACCCAGTTGAGACCGTCGCTGACGCCATGGGTCGCGAGCTCCGCAACGACTACGCCAAGACCTCGGGTTACAACGGCCTCACCGTCTACGTCAACTACGCCCACGGCGACGAGACTCCCGAGCAAATGTACGGCCGCAACAAGCTCCACCGTCTTGCGAAGCTCAAGAAGCAGTATGACCCTTCGTCCGTCTTTGGATTCCACAACCCCCTTCCTACTAGCTACCCTTAAGCGGCTAGCTTAGGACTTTGATAAATCAACCTTTCGCTGAGGTGGTGCGATGTTTGAAGAACAATCGGGGATTCATATGAGCTGCAGAGCTCATGGGTGTTTGATTGGCTTTCTGATTGCTTGTTTGTTATAGACTTGGCTTCTAGACCTAGGTGGTGGCTTTTTGCTTGGTAGTGGTTGTTTCTTTTGTCTCGCTAGACATTTCCTACTACTCTTAGAATACTGTGTACACACATAGACATATCATCCTACATAGACATATACATACATCTTGTATCACATCATATTTGCCATCTTGACAAATTAACCGTGAGTTTTCAAATCTCCGAAAACCAATCATCAGACGCTATGAGACCACCAGAATGCGGTTCCCAGAAAACTCAAGTTCGAATCACGTTCTTCATCCACTACGACGCTCGCCACGTTTGCCTCTTTCTGTACCTTGACTTTTTAAGCATCATGCCGTATTCACGATGATTTTCCCATCCTGCTACAACCTATCATACCAGCCCTTACCCAGCGAACCACGGACCTAGCTGGATCTACATAGTAGAAACCCCGATCGCCCCGTCCCCACATTACAACCACTAGGTAAGCAGCCCACCGCCCCACACCAACGAGAAAAAAAAAGATTTTTTTTTTCATTATCTGCTACATAGCCCCCAACTCGCAAACGTCTTTTCATCAATCAAATCGGACCATATCAGTTCAATCGGGTATGGTGTAGCGGTAACATCGTTGACTCTCACTTCTCAGGAGTGACTGCTCTCTCAACAGCCCCGGGTTCGACTCCCGGTATCCGAGTCTCAATATCTTTTTGATTTTTTTCCTCTTACCTTTTTTTCTCTATTCCTTGAGGTTCTTAGTGCCTGTTGCTCAGTCAGATAGATGTGCTCTCAGAAAAGCACTCCGATAAAAACTTGGTAGTGTTATTATTTTACTTTTACGCCTTTTTGTTTGTCTGCTTTTTCGTAGAGATGTCTGGTGCAGAAAAGAATAATTATGTGTGTATCGTTCAAAGGTGATCGATCGTATCGAACATGGAATTTGAGGGATCAGTTCCTACCATCTTGTTCGGAGCCGCATCTAGATTATTTGCAACGGGACCGACCGTTCGTGATTTTTGTAGCATTGCCAATTCTGGCCGACTTAATCTTGCCATCCATCTCTGTTTAGTTTTGCACATGTAACTAACATCTTCTCCGTTGACATCATCTGTTTCCTTCGTTCGTCCTTCTGTTCCCTCTACCTGTTCATTCCTTCCTCATGCATATACACATACACCACTAACCTTTTCGTCCGCTCGACTTACACACACATCACAATTAATAAGCTACATCGTGCGACTAGTTTTGGCTAGTAAAACAAAGAAAAAGTAAAGTCGCCACTAGATAAGATCAACGAGAGGATCCACACACACATGAACGCAATTTTTTTTTGGGAAATACCGCAAAAAAAAGAAACTTGCCCAATAACAGGATTGAACTGTTGACCTTCGCATGGACTTGATATCTCGCAAACAAGATATTAGTACGACGCTCTAACCAGCTGAGCTAATCGGGCTTTGTTGAATGTTGGGCTTTTCAGATGCACTTATGTTCACGCACCGACAGTGGAAGAGATGCTGCGATGTGGTTGGCGATAGCATTGGATATTGTGACACTTTAGATTTACTCGTGGTGGAGAACACTGGATGGAAAAGGGCATATTTGGATGTGAAGAAGATCAAATGCATGGTTACTTTCCCGCCCTTGTAGATTGGTATTACTCGGTACTCGGTCCTGTCCGAGTATAAGTCGGAGTGTTGACCAGTTAGGGACACCACGATATAGAAAGAGTTACGCGAGTTATTGTGAACAGTGCTGATGAGTGAGGGCTGGGCTTAGAAGAGATATAGACCCAGTAGCCAGAGCGTAAGAGATATTTGATAGTAATGGAGGACATTGATTCAACTAGTAAACGTAAAGAAATTTCGGATCCAATCTATCATCGCGCGACACCCAAAGCGAAAAGAAAATCATAAATCATGACAAACAACAAAGGGAACAACGACATCAACATCGCAGACCAAAGCCCAAGATCAAGAGAGCTTAAACCACAACCTTCCTAGCCCACGGCACCCTCCCGCCCCTCCCCTCAAACGGCACAAACCTCAAAATCTGTCCTTGCCTGATCAGCAACACCGAAACCAACAAGCCCTTTGCAAAAGTCTCCATATCGCACCACGGCAGGACAAACCGATCCCAGAACCAACTGACCCACCCCTTCTTCACCACCTCCCTAATCATCGCATGTCCGCCATTCCAAATCGGCTTGACCTCGGTCTTTCGGTCCTCCTGATACCTTCTGAAGGCACCCTTCAACTCCTCTGTCGACGGCTCCTCATCCTCCTTTTCACGCTGCCGAGAAAGGAGAGAGTGCAACTCATTAGCCAGCACGGCTCCCGAGTGCAACCCACACGTCATCCCCAGCCCATTAACACTCGTACTCTTATGCACCGCATCGCCCACCAACACAATGCGATCAAAGAACCAGTTATCCAGAAAGCCCTCCTCCTGATTCAACATCCTCGTCGACTTCCTCTGCACCTTGGCCCACACATCACCGAACTTGACGCCAGGACAGACGGCAACGTCCGCCAGAGAGGCAGCGTACGCATCCATTTCTTCGTCCGAGTATCTCGGACTGCGCTCGCTCGTCGGACCGCCGGGTAACGGCTTCAAAGTCACAAACTGCACGATGTCCTTTGTTGCCAAGCACTGGACGACGGCACCGCCCTCCCCGCCCCCGCCTCTTGACTCGAAAAAGACTTCGGGCTCGATGCCCAAATCAACATTGGACGCCCGGCCAAAGATTCCGTAAAAGGTCGAGACCATGGGCTTGTTGGCCAGACGCGCCGGGTTGAGCGCGTGCTGGGCCACGAGCGAGTCCATGATTTGCCGCGTGCGGGAGTGCACGCCGTCGGCGCCGACGACGATGGAGCCTTGGATGAGAGAGCCATCGGCGAGGCGGACGTGCACGCCGGTGGCGTGGGGGCGGATGTCGGTGACGCGGGAGTTGACGCGGATGTTGGAATCCCGGCCTTTGAGGTGGTTGTAGAGGATTTTGACGAGCTCGGAGCGGAGGAGGGGGAGGAAGGGGTAGCCGTGGCTGGTGGTTGGGGATTGAGATTGTTAGTTTGAGGGACAGAAGAGAGATGGAGGACAGGGAGAGAACTGACTTGTCCTGCATGGCATCCCAGAAGTTGCTGGTGGTGGTCACTTGGCCGTTGTCGCCGAAGAGACGCTTCTTGTGGTGAATACCTAAAGCGACATGTTCAAGGTCCGCGAGGAGGCCGATTTGGTCAAAGAGGCGTACTGTCTGGGGCCAGGTGAAGAGAAGCTGCCCTGAGATGTTCAGGACGGTGTCTTGTTGTTCTAGGATTACGTAGTCGATGTTGGCCCGCTCAAAGGCGTGGGCCATGTAGAGCCCAACAGGGCCGCCACCCACGATGATGACTTTGAAGGTCATGGCGGATCGAAACGGGATGAGGTGGTGAATATGAATTGTAGATGGAGTAATACAAAGGTTGCTCTAGCACATTGATGGGTGTATCTCGGCTTATAGCACGTTTATTGCCGATCATCTCCCAGCGCCGTCACGATGTCCCGTCGTCAGAGACCGCCGTGCTGACTCGCCTGCGATCCCGACCATTCGGCGGCGGTGAACGGCAGATAATAAACACCACCGGTGATAAAGGCTAGTGGTACGTTTTTACAGCATTCTCGACTGTTTCCAGAACCTCTAACAACTACTCTATCGACTACTCTATCGCATGCTTGAGGCTTTAGTGATCGTCCGATCTCTTACCTTAGGAACGGTGCTCCCAAACAGCCACATGGGAACTTGTGTCTCCGAACTGTTGCTTGCACCACACGGTCCTTTCTACTGCTTGCCCACGTTCTGGTAACCGTGGTCGGCAAGTTGTGCGGCTCGAGTGGTATAACTGATGGACGTGTTGTTTGGCTGCTGCTCTAAAGGTTGGGAACATTGGTATCCGGGATAGCTTCCGAAGCGGACAGGAGCCGTATGGTACTGAGAGAATCGGACTCTATTCCGGGCAGAAATGTGCCAAGCTGAGAGTGTCCGTCCGATAGAGCTCTCCTCCGTGACTAGTCCGGCGCATAGGACTAGACCACTCCATCAAGGGACCCTGATTCTGCACGGTCCCTATGTAAACCCTCCGGCCTTCAACGAGACTCGAATCGCAGGGAGAGGAAGATGGTGTGGACGGCTGTAGAACGAAAATAGTATCAGCCTACATCGTGTACTACGCTTGTTGGTTAGCAGATAGTTTTCCCTTCCTAGTATAGTGTACTACCACTGCAACGGCATCATAAATGGAACATCACCCTCCACATGCGCCTTGTGGTGTCTCGGGAGCATTTCGCATTTTGAGCATTTGCCGGATCGAGGACCCGAAAACCATCTGTCTCAGATCAGCCAATCACATGCCAAACAACCGATTGCCGCCATCGATTGCCGTGTTCCCGTTTCCGTCTTTCCATGTCGTGGGGGCTGACTCAGAAACGCTGTGCGACCATGACAAAGACGGCAACATGTCTTGGACTGGTTGGATCCGGCGCTGAGCTGCACCCTCTCTGGTTCGTGATACGCCTACGTTTCATCCTCTTTGGAGACGGGTAGAGCTTCGGCTCCTGCGCAGAATCAGTAAGGGACTTTTGTGCGGCACGGGTCGGAAATGTTGGTCACACTGTTGATGGCAGAGACATGGCGACGGAGTGATTCAATTGGACATGGTTCGATGGATGAGGTTGGAAAAAGGATGAGGACCCTGTTAATAGCGGCAGCACTAACAATTAGCCCTGTACACTGGCTAGCACTGCAACGGTCCCCTGTAGATCAAACTCATGGTGGGGTGGTGGGGTAGCTGTCTATGTAGATATGCGTATATCCGTTAGAGGAATATCTCCCGCGGGGTTGTTTCCAACAGCAACCGACGTGGATGGTGCTGGGAACACCAATCTGAGACAAAGAAACTTCCTCATAAGAACCACTCCATTGGAGACCCGATACCTCCTACGCGCTCGGTATCCGACCAATCGCCTCACCGAACAAGGTGAACACCACTGTTGAGCGGCAGCCGGCGACTTGTTGGTTGTAACCTTCAAGACGTTCACGAACTGTGACACACGAAGGGAAAGAGCTTCGTAGATTCGTGGTACTCTTCCTGTGATGGAGGAGAGACCACATCAAGACCATCGAACCGGATTGCCCAAATTGACATTTACGACATCCTCGACCTATGGCAATGATTGAAGTCAAGAGCCAAAACTGACTTCCATTCCCCAGAACCTCTCACAGAAACTGCTCCAAGAACTCTCCAATAAGCTTGTTGACCTCATTCGGAGTGTGAATTAAGACCCAATGCGACGCCTCAGGAATCACCTCCTTCCTCAGCCCCTTAGCAAAGTACTTTTCCATGCCATCAGTCAGCTCCGGCGGCAACGCAGGATCATGACCGACCATCACAATCATCGCCGGCACCTGGAACTGCCAGTTTGCGTACTCCTCAGCCAGCGGTAACTCATCCTCCAAGTTGATCTCCCGTGTGCGATACCAATTCATGGGTCCTCGTATGCCATTGCGCGAGTACTCCTCAACTATGCCCGAATACCAGTTAGACAATACCTTAGCAAGGTCATGGGAATGATGATAATTGATAAAGAAACAATTGAACAACATACCATAAAAATCCATAATCTCCTCGCTGACCAAAGGCGACTCCCCCACCTCCTCCAACTTACCAACATCCACCCCCTTCCACGGATCAAAAGCCATCACCCCCTCCTCTTTCGTCAACCCCCCAAACATGGCATTCAACCACCCCCTCAACCTCTCCTTACTCCCGCCCACCGCCTCCTCCACCTCCCCCCTGGCATTCTGCAACTGATACCCCAACTCCGGATGCCTCTTGACATGCTCCTCCAAGCTCGTCACTTCTCTCTCGGGCGGGCTGTAAGGAATACAAAACGCAAAAATCCCCTTAATCAGCTCCGGGTAGTAAAGTGCCAATCTCCATCCCAGGAAAGCACCCCAGTCGTGGGTTCCCAGGAGAACTGGTCCAGAAGGGTTAACTTGGCGGATGATGTGCGCCATGTGAAAAGAGAGGTTTTTCAGAGAGTATTCGGACGGGGAAGAGGGGGCGGAGCTAAGGCCGTAGCCGAGCATGTCGGGGATGATGACGCGGAGGCCCAGAGATAAAAGAAAGGGGACTTGGTAGCGCCAGCCGAGGGAGAGGTCGGGCCAGCCGTGGAGGAGGAGGACGGTGGCTGTTGGTTGGGGGAAGGAAGCCGAGTCGGGGTTGGCGAGGAGGTAGTGGTAGGTTATCTCTTGGGAGGTGGAGGGGATGGTGGTGTAGTGGTGGGTGACCCGGGGGTCGTGGGGGATGAGGACGTCGGGGGGCATGATTCCTGACATAGGTGGGTAGGAAGGAAAATAATTTTGAGAGTTGATGGAAGAAGGAGAGAATAACCGGTATAAAGGTGGGAATATGGTGTCTTATACTTGACTTATACGATTAGAGAATTACATCGGAGCATTTGTCATAGTGTTGATCGGGGGGTTATTTACTGCACGACATTACTTGTCAGTGGACTCTATACTTTGAGCATGTGTAATGTCAAGGTTCATCATGGGGTCTATTTCAGCATAGGATGACATCGCTGACGAATCTTCTCTCCTCTCGGGTAAAAGTTCCAGGGGCTTATATCCGACTTCAAGAATAGCAGCACTTCTTTCCCGCAGTGTTGACTCTTTTGTCGGGTTACTGTCTCTCTCGTTTGATACTCAGTTATGTATGATTCAGCATCTCACAAATACTAGGGGACATTAATCTGCATATAAGCTCACTGAATTCGTTTGGTTGGATCTCTATCGTGTATGTTCCAATAAACAATCTCTAATTCATCTGCTCGCTATCGACTCTACGCCATCGAAGCCCCGTTTACCATGGCACCTCAGTACCATCAACAGCATTGTAGAACTTACCATTAGACTCCTTCGTGAGGCCGTCGAGCTATAGATTAAAAATAGTATCAGCACATCAACTCAATATTCCCAGCAGAACAGAAGAGCAACTTACCAGCTTGACAACACTAGCCGCACTATCTCCCACCGTCACCGGCGCCTTATCCCCCATTCCGACCTTCTGCGCAACCCAATTCCCCGGTCCGGTCTGGACCAAGCCCGGGTGCAGCGCAATAGTAGTCATCCACTCCTTCTGGCTGCTCGCAATACCAGCCGTAAGCCAGTTCAGCGCCGCCTTCGCGCCTCCATACGCCGGCAGGATCCAGGCCGCCAACGGATCAACCAAGCCAATACTTCCTGCAGTAGTCGACACGCTCGCCCACTTGGGCTCAGTGCCCTTCTTCAGCAGCGGCAAGAGCGCCTGGAAGAGGAGCAATGGGCCGATGGCGTTGATGTGGTAGTTCTCCAGCATGTCCTTGGTGTCAACTTCCTCGATGGGCACGGTGGATGGCATGGCGCCTGCGTTGGCGATGGCGATGTCAATGTGGTCGATTCCCTGGGCACGAATGGCCTCGACGGCGGCGGCGGGGTCGGTGGAGGACGTGGATTCGATGTGCACGAGAAGAAGCTTGGAGCCGGGAACGGTGGGAGAGGCCTTGAGCTCGGCGACGGATGGTGTGGACAGGTCGCGGACGGAGCCGATGACGGTGTGGTTGGGACGGGAGAGGTAGAGCTTGGCGATGCCGGCGCCGATGCCTAGGAGGAGAGTTGGTTAGTTTAGTTTGCTGTGAATTTTGCAAAGGGGATTGGGACTGAGAGGTTGAGGGGGCGTGAGTACCCTTTCCTACACCGCTGATGAAAACGACGGTGGAATCTGTGACGGCCATGGTGATGTCCGGTTCTTGGTGGATTTGGTGTTCTGGGGCTAGTAGTGGTGCTCGAAGAGGATGGAGGCTCCGAGCTGTAGAAGTAATGTTGTTGTAACCACGGAGCTTTTTAAAGGACTACAGATAGTGATGACACTTTGAATCTGTCAATTCTATAGAGAGAATGGCTGACCAAGCTGTCTGTCTCCGCCGTGGTCTCCCATCATGATGTCTCAAAATGATGACGAGCTGGGTGGGCAGGATACGAGGCGGCATCGTGCTGGGCCGCCAGTGCGACCACATAGTGCCTGGACTCAGTTGGCATCATTGAGGACAGGTCCATCGATCTTTGTCTTGTTTGAGAAAGCCAGCTCCAAGCTTAGAAAGACGACAAGTCATGTATCGGTCGCCTTGAGTAACGTGAGCCGGAGTGTTTTTGATGTTGCGGCAAGGGATTTTTGTGCCTGGAGCGGCGGACCGTCCTACACAGTACAGGCTCTGTAGCGGCTGGTTTAGTGGACAAGGGCGACTGAAGAGCCAAGGGTCCCCTTGCCCTCGTATCTGATTGGTGCAGATACCCTGGCGGCTGCCGAAACGGGCAAAAAGTCTTGTAGTCACCGGCATGGATCCACTTTGGATCACCACTACAGGTACCTCTCGACAGACCAGACGGAAAAAGTGTTGACGACACTGATCGGACCTCCCCTACCTCCTGCCTTGCGAGTACTCTGGCTATGGATGTCCTCGATACCAACCGCAATAACACAAGTAAATCGAACACTTTATTACATAAACTGCCGTGGTCAATCATCCTGAAGATACTCAATTTGGCAAGGCAATGCCAGGCTCTTGTTCCGTGTATGCTGACGCCATTCCTCCCCCAGGCGATGCCAGAGATTGCAACACCAAGGCGTGGAGCAACATGTTTCTTACTCACCGACGAGTTCGACAGATATCTCTCCCTCCTGTACGGACTTAGTTGCTCTTGGATATCGCCATGCGAGGACCTTGAGTACCCATATCCTTTTCCGGTCTGAGGCATCAACGGAGGTATCACCATCATTCTCTCTGAATGTTCAAGGTGATGCTCATCACCGTGCCATCGAATTCCAGAATGTCTGTCGGATGACTTCATAACATGACTCTGGGAGAACCAAGCCACCTCTGGACATCATGTTTACTCACTCTTACCCCCCTTCTCCTCCTCCTCATCACTCACTCACCACCGCTCGCTCGTCATCCAGCACTCGACGATCATCACTGAGCAAGTCCAAGATGGCGCCTCAGTCAACAAAATTTGCCCTGATCACAGGGTGCGGTGCCGGTGGCATTGGAGAGGCCCTTATCCTAGAATACCAGCGCCGCGGCATCCACCCTATCGCCACACTCCTCCCCTTCGAGTCGAGCGAGCATCTTGACAAAGCTGGCATTACTTGGTTCAAACTGGATGTTACCAACGAGGAGTCCGTTGTTCAGTTGAAGAAGGATGTTTCTGAGCTGACCAAAGGCCGCTTGGATTTCCTTGTTAACAATGCGTAAGTTTCAATGTTCCAGAGGAGGATAGTGGCCAAGCTCAAAGACTAATTTGGATTGAATTGCAGCGGCATTTGCTACACAATGACAGCCATTGACACGGATGTCAAATCTGTTCAACGCATGTTTGATGTCAACCTGTTTGGGCCCATGCGAATGGTGCATCATTTCCATGATATGCTAATCGCGTCCTCTGGCATCATTGTTAACATCGGCTCCATTGGCGGTGTTGTGCCGTTCGTTTATGGCTGTGAGTTTGTGATCTTTCACCGCTGTAACAAGGCGCTAAACTAATACGACAACAGCATCCTACAACGCCTCCAAGGCAGCTTTCGCGCACTGGGGTAACAGTTTGCGCGTCGAGCTTGCACCGCTCGGCGTCAGAGTTCTCGTGGTATGTCTTTTAGCGGCACAGTCAAACATTGCGATGATAACCCACTCACAATCCCGCCATCAAAGATCATCTCCGGAGAAGTCGGTACCAACATCCTAAAGAACGATCACGGAAGGACCCTGCCCGAGGGGTCATACTACTCTCCAATGGCCGAAGAGTTCAAGAACCACGTCCACAGGACGCCCGGTAAGCCCTCTCCATACTCAACTTACCATCTGCCGCAGCTCTCTAACACTGGCTACCCAGATGCTGCCACCGATCGCTTTGTCTACGCCAAGAACGTCGTTGGCGAGTCCCTCAAAAAGTCCCCCACAACATGGTTCTGGACAGGGAGCTACTCGGGCGTTATTCGCTTTTTGCATACCTTCTTCCCCAAGACAGTGTTCGTATGTATCCCCGCTTACCCATAGCAGGAGTTGAGCTTGAATGATTTGAGCTAACAGCTTTTGTAGGATCGCTGGTTCTCGAGCTTGTTTAACCTGGCTAAGCTGAAAGAAGCGCATGATGCGGCGATGAAGAAGAAGGTGGCTTGATTTTCATCCTTCTCTTCCCCACCGGCATTCGTGAGGAGTGGGATATTGGTAGTCATGGTCTTTTACCATGTGCTTGATAAGGGATTCGACAATAGCTCGAATGTACCATTGCGCAAGGATGAAGATGTTCTAGATCGTGCTTTGACTATATCGTTTATCCCGCCTCATGTTCAGTTCTGATTGTCCAAGTTTCTGTTTCCATTTTGTGCATATTCCCAGGCTTTTCTGGTGTTGGTCAATAGAAGGGGCATCATTCTTTATATCCTCCCCCTTTTTAACGTACCGATTTCTGAAGCTGCCAATGTTTTTATATCCTGACCGTTCGGCAAGGGTAAAGGAGTTTTACGATCCTGAGCCGGTTTTGGGGCCTGAGAAATGTGATGGAAGAAGGAGCAATATAAAACAACTTGAAAATGACGCATTTATCTTCCTTTACAATTTGCTTCTATTCATGATTCAATTTATCAGAAATACAACGGGGAATATGATCGAAAATGTTCTACTTTTTAGCCAACTCGAGGAAACTTTTTGTTACCCCGAGTGCTGACAAGCTGTACATAAACGCTCAGTCCACTGAGGGAAGGAGAGATCGTGACAAGGTGTCCATTGGAAAAGTAGCGGTTTGATTGGAAAAAGGGAAAGGGAGAGGTGAATCGAAGGAGGCGGGTCAAAAAATACAGAAAAGAACGATAAAAGTTGTCTAGTAGCCTACCTAACGTGTGAAGGTAGTCTTTGGGGATGAACAATCTTCTTTTACCATTCAGAGATAAGTCATCGTATCAATTAAGCATATCAATTAAGCAAAGGCACACACGTCATTAAACCAAAATTGTTTGAAAAGAAATCCTCTCGTCACGTCAAACCATGATACGAGTTCCAACTTGGGTAGGTATTTTACCGCCCCTCATAATGCTCCTGCAAGCTTCCCAAATACCCCTCGACCTTCTCCCCGCTCGCATCCACCACCTCCTTACAGTCCAACAACACCCACATCACCCTCCCCGGCAGCGTCCCGTTCCCCGTGACATTCACCCACTTGTGCGCCGTCGCTCTTTGCACGCTTACATCGCCCTGGCGCATGATCCGCTTCTCGCCCGAGTCTAGGATCAACTCGAACACGCCTTCGACGATGATGCCGTAGTCGATCGTCATGGCTCGGTGGAGGGGGGACTCGACGCCCGGGCCGAAATCGATCATGCGCACTATGGAGCCGGATTTGTAGTGGAAGGGGGGCTTTTTTGGGGAGTCGGCGTTAGCCATTGGTACTGATACATAGCAAAAGCGTGGAAAGAGGGATCAAGAGGGAAACAAACCTCCTTCTCTTTAGCCTTTTGAATATCAATATTGTTGTTGAGATCGACCGGTGTCTCTTGCGTGGAGTACAGCAGGTTGGAGATAGCTTGGTTCTGGACCATGAAACGGTGGTGGTCGCCGTGGTCGGAGTGCAGGAAGACGGATTCACCCTGCTCGTTAAGACCGGTGATGTGCCGGACGATTTGGCGGAGGCCGGGGGCGGGGAATGACTCGACGTAGTAGCCGTTGGGGTTGTTGTTGGGAGGGGCCATGGTGAATGATGGCGAGGAAGGAATTCTGGAGTAAAGCGTTAAGCCTGTGTAAAAAGGTTTGTAAAGGTATTAAAGGTGTGAGGTTCAATGGATCAGGAAATGTTGTGATGAGGGAACATGTGATGAGACCTCTTTATCAAGTCCTTTGGGATGTGATGTGATGAGTTAATAATTCGAATAAGTTCTTTGATAATCACGAATCTACACCTTTGGCCAACCTCGCGGTCTATAAGATTCCAATCAGACGTGAGCAGCAAGCGTGGTACCCCCATCCAAGATCATGTTGCACCCCGTAGCATAACTCGCTTTCGGACTAGACAGGAACATGACCGCATCGGCAACTTCCTCGGCTAGCGCAATCCTTCCGAGCGGAACGGCTTTCTGGATCATCTCTCCGAGTTCAGGGATGTCATCCATGGCCTTGCGGATCATGGGAGTATCGACCCACGACGGACACACGCTATTGACCCGGATACCATGTTTGGCGTTATCGAGTGCTATTGGAAAAGAACCGTCAGTAAACGCCGGAACGGACCCTTTCTGCTACCCTATCGCTAAGCAGGCACGGTACTTTGTGTAACCCAACAAACTTACCAGCATTCTTGGTGATTCCAATGACTGCATGCTTGGCGGCTGTGTACTGAACCATGCCTGGGGTAGCAACAAACCCCGAAGCTGACCCCACGTTGACAATGCTACCCCGTGAGACACCCCGCGGGGGAACGGCTTTGTCAACGGGAACGGGGTCCTGGGTCTTCATGAGGGCGGAGAGAGCGCGGGTGACGATGAAGGTGCCGGTTACGTTGACCTTGAACATCTTTTCGAACTCGAAGACGCTGGCTTCGGCGATTTCATTGGCCAATTGGACTCCGACCTGTACCCAAACAGGGAATGTCAATCAATGTATGCTGGTGATTAGGGGGTCATGGTGGAGCTTACACCAGCGCTGTTCACTGCGTAGTCGATCCGACCGAGGACCTGATGTGCGTATGCAATGGCTTGATGGACGGACTCTTCTTTGGTTACGTCGATGGCAACTGCTTCGGCCAGGAAGTTAGGGTGAATAGCTTGAGACTTACACTCTGCTGCCACCGCCGAAGCAGCTTTGAGCGTGAGGTCTGCTATGACGATGCCTCGAACGCCATACCGGGCAAAGGCCAACGCGCATGCCTTGCCAATACCGCTGGCTGCAAATAATGATACGTACCTAGTTAGCAAAAGCGATGGTAAAAAGTAAGAACGGAAATCATTTACCTCCGATGACGAATGCCGAACCAGTGAGATCCATGTTTCTATGATGTAGCGATGTCCAGCTTGCAACAAAATCGAGTGCCATCCGCGCCGAAGGATTACCATTATATGCATCGGAGGACGATAGCTGCTGGAGATTACGGAACACCAAATCTGTGTGCTAGATTACCGTCAGTATCCTGTTTCGTTTTCTAAGAACCCTTCAACAGTCTTGGGGCGGATGTGAGATTGGGGGTAGGATTTTGATGCAGGTCAGATTTGTGTAAGACGGAGATTGAGGCAATACCCGCCGGCGTTGCATCCCGGGAGTTACCCCCAAGGCGAATAAGCAAATGATGGCTTCCCTTGGAAGAGAGAGAGAGAAAAAAAAAAGTGATCTTTCGTGGAAATGCTGTAGTAAGGTTCCGTATCCGTGAGCCGAACCCGGGATCGATGATGGAGCAATTATCGGGCGGTCCCTAAACGTCGTGAATATGACGAATCGGCCAATTGACCCGATGAGAAGAGATGTAACAATCTTGACGATATAACTTCGGTTTGACTCCGTGCTTTTCATCATCAGACATCATCGCAAACTTCCGTCATCAACACTCGTCCTGTCTTTCCCATCTTTCGCATCTTACCTCTGCATCAACATGTCCACCTCCGGCCCCATCACTGAGTTCCCCGCCCCCGGTCTCCGGGATCCCTTCCGTTACATCACCGGCCACGACGCCGAAGGCAATGCCGTCTTCGTCCAGACCGACAACGGCGACCACCGGGCCGTAATGCTCGGCGGTGCTGCTGCGCAAAATATCATCTACAGCGCTGGCTCCAACCCCATCGAGCTCACCGGCAACGTCGATCTCGAGTTCGCCAAGAACAGGGTTTGTCCTTGCCCCATTTGCCCCCCCCTTTTCTTCACCAGCAGCAAATATATTGACAAAAAAAATAGCCCTCCCTCCACATCCCCAATGGCGTCTGCGTCCGCATGATTGACTTCGCACCTGGCTGCAAATCCAACATGCACCGGGCCCTCTGCATGGGCATCGGCACCGTGTGTGAAGGCGAGGTCGAGCTCACGCTCGGCAGCGGCGAAAAGCGGATCCTGAGGCCTGGCGATGTCTCGATCAACCGCGGCGCGATGCACCAGTGGCGCAACACGTCGGACGAGAAGCCGGCGAGGATGTTGTACACGCTGCTGGACATCAACCCGCTGATTGTCAATGGCAAGCAGCTGGACTTCGATATGGGGTACTTGATGAAGGAGTACGCGGAGTATGATGAGGGGGAGGGGGATAAGAAGGCTGAGTAAAGGAGACCGTGGTGATGGGATATCGGAAGTGTTTGAGTTGGTGGAATAGTTACGCTAGATGCATCATAACCATTATTGCGAATATTCATTGTTGTTCTCGACCTATGGCTATGATGCCTGGTACGTCTTGAACTTGCCCGTGAATGTGAAACGTCTGGACAAAATGACACTCACAGCGGTCAGAGAACCTGAATCGTACCGCACGTGGTCTTCATCCTGCTACAGCTACCGTGAACATCCCACTTGGAAAATCCGATGTACTCATAATGTTGCTAATTTGATGAGTATTGCATTGCGTAGTCTACAACGGCTCAACTGCAGTTGTGAATCTAGAAGCCAGGAGATACCCAGAAAGAATCTTCACTCTATGAGAGGGGACGAATAGAACCAGATATGGGTATCACCCAGATACCAGACGAGTAGGAGATCTCTGTGGCTGATCAAGGCAAAACGCTCGTAGAGCGCTGTAAACGCACCGTTAGATGGGCTGAAACGGGTGGTGCTGGACGGTCAGCAGGAAGCGGCCTGTACTACATCAACACCACCTTGAATCTTGACGGCACTCGCCGTTCGCCCGTTCGGCACGCTCAACGTCACTATTCGACCAAAGTGTAGAGATTGCTTTCCCTCTAAGAGATGGTTATCGAGATCAACGATTCGGTCACGATGATTTCAGTGTTATAAGGTCGTATAACCGCTCGGCGGTCCGAGACCGTAAGACGGGGGAAATGGCGGGCGCCGATACTACGTCTCTTAGGCGCGAGGAACTTTGGCGATACCACGACATCAAGACCGTCCGTCCTTTACTGGCCGTAACGGGCCTTTATTTTCAACGAATCATGGGCATGTGCTTGATCCTTTTTCTTACGCGGTTACGACGCAATACGCACAAGATCCCCTTCGACCGAACCATGAGTGATACTTGTCCAGTATAGTCTGATGATGCACTGTCCCTTTGACGGCCTCCGCTTGTGATCGGCTCTTGTAGGGCTGAGGGGTATCTTTGCAAATGGCCTGGGCTTGAAGAAAACGGACACAATCTTTGTGGGTTTTGTTCAATTTGATGGGGTGAAACGTTGATGGGTATGATGGAAACTGGCAGACACCCTCCGAGACAGGAGCGATATCTCGTCCCAATTCGGTGCAGCAAGTTTTAGAGACGGTGGCCTGTGCAAGTAAGACAATGCAACCTTGACTTTATCTCCGATCTCAGAACTGCACGGTCAATGATACCCACGGGGTGCAGCTCCCGTAGCACACTAC